ACTTAGAGATATAGATATAGATATGTAGAGAGATAGAGAGAGAGAGAGGGAGAGAGAGAGAGAGAGATGGATATTTTCCGCGCCAGCCATGCTTGATTACCATAAGGTCAATCCTCATTTTGTTGTTGAACACCCTACTTTGGCTCAATATTCCTTTAGTTTTGTTGTGTCAATCCCCTTTTCGTTGGTGAAACCCCCCATTTCTTGCCCCCCTTTAAAAGGTGGGTGAAGTGGTGAAATCTCCCCATTTTCGCCGGTGAAAAATCCCAAAGCTTGGTGAAATTCACATATTTGATGATTAAACATGCTAAATATGTGTCTATGAACACATATTCTTGGTGAAATTCATATATTTCTTCACATCTTCTCTTCGGATTCTTGGTGACTCATCCCATCCCACCAGGTGGCATCGTGCGGCTGCAGCGGCAAAGCCTGGTTCCAGGGCGAGGAGATGATTTACCATGTGCTTATTTAACATATGGAAAAAAGGTCCATTTATGGCTGATTTACCTATGTCTACCTATTAAGAATGGTGATTTTCCATAGCTATGTTGAATGACCAGAGGATATCTATTTAAAAGCATCAAACAAATCCGAAGCTATGAAACATTACCAGCTAGTAAGTGGTGTATAACCTATATATATATGTTCATATGACTGGGGTGTAATATGGTTATTAATAACTCGGGTATAATATGGTTATGGGTCGTGTATATACGTACATATATGGGCTATAACGGTATAACACAGTTGGTAAGTGGTTAGGAACCATATGAAATAAGCCAGTTTTATACCCCAGTTGTATACCCCAGTTGGATTAGCGGGCCATAACCCGTTTACTGACCAGGATGCACCCGCGAACATGATATGTAACACATACACACAATTGAGCGATGAAATTGGGGATGTAAGGGAGATGAAATTCGAGATTTATGGAGGGGTATAGTGGAATATAGCAAGATTGAATGGAAAATATACTGTAGTTCCACTTGTCATATAGCTCATGTATAGCAGCATATGCTCAATTGTCAATATTCCAATCATTAGTCATCAATGCCCGTTGTCCATATAGAATGTTAATTCAGCATAAAGGCAAAATTGTCATAAACAAGCAACAACCAACCATCATGATGAGATCACCCGATATATCACATGACTGATTCCTATGACTAATTCCGTAAAATCGCTATTTGAGCAGTGCTCAAAAACCCGAACTGTCATTGACTGACTGTCATTCCATGAAAATATAGTTTGTTAAGAACGGGATTCTCAGCTCATGGACTATGAGAATCCCATATATCTGGGGTAGTTGAAGTATAACCCCCTATAATTATCAACCAAAAGAGATCTGGACCCTTCTGAATACAGGTAGGTAGAGAGGTGTATATATATATACACACATATAATATGTGTGTGTGTGATGTATATAATAAATATAAATACATCGTTATGTAAAAATAATTCATGATGTCAATATCTGTGCGTCTAGGTATGTAAAAAAAAGAAGATTCACGGAAGCCTCACTAAAGCGTTGCAGCCTTGTGCTGGTAGCGCATCCCTCCACACGACCGCGCTGGGAAGTGGGCCTGAAGGCGGCCGCATTGACGGCGGCGGGGACTCAAGCACCAAACACATGGGATGTGGGTATGTTTGATTGATGTGGGGATTGCCTAACAAAACATAACAAAACTATATCATACTATATCTGTATAGTTCATGTTTTTTAGGGATTGTACTAACATCGGAATATCATCAAAATCAATGATGTTTCGCATATGAATTCCTGTTAATATCCACAAGAGAATCGTCTGCAAAATGATGTGAGAACCAGACCAGGGCATGATCCCTTTAAGCTTCAAAGTTGCACTCCCAATCCCCTCACCTCCAACTAAAACTCTAAAACAAGGCACAAATCGCTGGTGATTATCTTGCCCCATGTGCTGGTACCATTGCTTCGGTCCTTGACCAACCTGCAACGAAAATCGCCCACCGTTCCCGTTGTTCCCTTTTTGAAAGAAATACTAATGATAATAATAAAAATTTTGCGACCAGTGGTCCATGTTGTTGTTGTTGTTGTTGTGGTTGTGGTTGTGGTTGTGGTTGTGGTTGTGGTTGTTGTTGTTGTTGTTGGTTGTTGGTTGTGGTTGTGGTGGTTGTGGTGGTTGTTGTTGTTGTTGTTGTTCTTGTTCTTGTTGTTGTTGTTGGTTGTTGGTTGTTGTTGGTTGTTGTTGGTTGTTGTTGGTTGTTGGTTGTTGGTTGTTGGTTGTTGGTTGTTGGTTGTTGGTTGTTGTTGTTGGTTGTTGTTGTTGTTGTTGCTGTTGTTGTTGTTGTCGTTGTTGTTGTCGTTGTTGTTGTTGTTTGTTGTTTGTTGTTTGTTGTTTGTTGTTTGTTGTTTGTTGTTTGTTGTTGTTGTTTGTTGTTCTTGTTCTTGTTGTTCTTGTTGTTCTTGTTCTTGTTCTTGTTCTTGTTCTTGTTTTTGATCTTGATCTTGTTCTTGTTCTCGTTCTTGCTCTTGTTCTTGTTCTTGTTTTTTGTTCTTGTTCTTGTTCTTGTTCTTGTTCTTGTTGTTGTTCTTGTTGTTGTTCTTGTTGTTGTTCTTGTTATTGTTCTTGTTGTTGTTCTTGTTGTTGTTCTTGTTGTTGTTCTTGTTGTTGTTCTTGTTGTTGTTCTTGTTGTTGTTCTTGTTGTTGTTCTTGTTGTTGTTGTTCTTGTTGTTGTTCTTGTTGTTGTTGTTGTTGTTCTTGTTGTTCTTCTTGTTGTTGTTCTTGTTGTTGTTCTTGTTGTTGTTCTTGTTGTTGTTATTGTTGTTGTTCTTGTTCTTGTTGTTGTTCTTGTTGTTGTTGTTGTTGTTATTTTTGTTATTATTGTTGTTATTATTGTTGTTATTATTGTTGTTATTATTGTTGTTCTTGTTGTTGTTCTTGTTGTTGTTCTTGTTGTTGTTCTTGTTGTTGTTGTTGTTGTTGTTGGTTGTTGTTGTTGTTGTTGTTGTTGTTGTTGTTGTTGTTGTGTGTTGTTGTGTGTTGTTGTTTGTTGTTGTTTGTTGTTGTTTGTTGTTGTTGTTGTTGCTGTTGTTTTTGTTCTTGTTGTTGTTCTTGTTGTTGTTCTTGCCGTTGTTCTTGTTGTTGTCCTTGTTGTTGTTCTTGATGCTGTTCTTGTTGTTGTTTTTGTTGTTGTTGTTTCGGTGGTTGGTGGCGGTGGTGGTGGTGGTGTTGCAGTTGTTGTTGTTGTTGTATTTGTTGTTGTTGTTGTTGTTGTTGTTGTTGTTGTTGTTGTTGTTCTTGTTCTTGTTCTTGTTCTTGTTCTTGTTGCTGTTGCTGTATCTGTTGTTGTTGTTGTTCTTGTTGTTGTTGTTGTTGTTGTCGTCGTCGTTGTTGTTGTTGTTGTTTTCTCAGGCTTCTTGGTGTACTTGTTCACTTTCATTTACGACATGCCTAGTTCGCATATGTATATATATATATATGTATATAGTACATATTTCAAAAGCATATGCATTCCATCACATTGCATTCTATTGCGTTGCATTGCATTACAATTTGTTACATTGTTGCATTGAATTTCATTGAATTAAATTCAATTACATTGAATTAAATTGAATTGCATTAAAATACATTAAATTACATTAAGTTACATGATGTTACATTAAATTACAATAGAATACATTGCTTCACATTACCTCACATTACATCACATTACATCACATTACATCACATTACATCACATACATGGTTTAGGCGGGCATGACAAAATATTGTTCTTTACAGACATTAAATTCATTTGCACGGCCACGCATTCTCCGTTGCCCAGGCAATGCGATTATTGAAACCCTAAACCTGTGAAACAAAAACCCAAAGACTCAAACTACAAAAACTGCAACCCTAAATCCCAAAACCTGGAATCTATAGTTCACATTAAAAATTGTTGGTTGTGGGATCATTATTTCATCTGTTAACCCTGGCTGTACGCTGCAGTCTCAGCCTTGGCAAGCCAAGGTTCTGCATTTTTTAACTTCAAAAAAAATTAAACTCCAAAGATCCTTCATTGGTTCTCTCCCTTACAATCCTCAACATGCCAGGGAAAAAAATCTTTGGATCACATGTGTGTGTGTGTCTGGGTGTAGTTTCCGTCGTTCCAGAAACAAACTTGACGAAGAAACGGGTCACCGAGAATAGTATAGATGAGTATAGGAATATTGGCTGTATGCATGCAAGCATTTTCTGTGTTTGTTCTTTGCTGGTTGATTCAAATACAGTAGCTCATTACCCATTGCTTTGTTGCACTGGCTACATGCTTTTGGATCAAACCCTGTACTTTTTGGATCAAACCCTGTAGTTTTCAGTTCACATCACAATAATGAACAAAACATCTCCGTTGGGATGTGAACGACTACCTATTTCGGAGGATAATGAATTTCAATCCATACTGAGGGTGCATCCCATTTGTATATGTCTGTAAGTGGGATATAACCAACATATAACTCATGTATACCCCCACAAATAGTTGCGATATTTATCTATTTATGTGTATATATATATATAATCTGGTAAGTAGCCTTTTTCCAACTTGGACATCTAAGAACCCACTTTTGAGCCATAGTCATACCCCGGTTCGCCAAATGGCACGGTGCTCTGTAAATCTGGGTATGTCTGAATGGTGACCCAAAACGGTTATTTTGGACGCAAGACAGACTGGCTATTTTGATAAGGAAAATAGTATACAAATTAACCATGAAATGTGGTGGTTTTCCCAAATCTTCAGACCCAAATCTCAGAAGATTACTGCCCTTGCCTGCATGCCAGCCATGCCCCGAATTCGTACATGGTACTTGGCGTGGGCCCAAGGCGATGGCAGGGCAGAGACCACCAACAAGGATCGATCCCCTTCCAGTTAAGGACACAACCAACTAACAAAGTGAAGGTTTTTGTTGCAAACATCAAAAATGGAAGGGTAGCATAGACCAAACAAAAAGGGGTCAAAGAAACAAACAATGATGGGTGTACATAACCAGAAAGAATAAGGAACTGAACATATTATTAGTGTCAGTGGACAATAAATGACTGGCCAGTTTCCACATGTGAGTATCCCACCTTAGGATTTGATAGCTTTGAACAATCCGAAATAAATATCCTAGCTACCTTTGCCGGGGGGTCCTCATGCCCTAATATTTTAACCAGTAGTACCGCACAAGGCGGTGGCGGAAGTTTCAAAAATAGGAAACCTATACGAGAGGTTGGTTGTTGTGAATCACGGATGGCATAGCGAATCCACTGATGGACCGAAAGGTGGTTGAAGTTGTGTTCTTTGGAGTGGCTGCAATGGTTGCAGTGGCCACCTCACCCACAACTGCTGGATGTAGTGTGGTGTAGCGAAGTTCTAGTTGTAGTTGCAGTGTGGTGTAGTGGAGTTGTAGTTGTAGTGCAGTGTACATAGTGTAGTGTAGTTGCAGTTGTAGTTGTAGCTGTGGTGTGGTGTAATTACTGTAGTGTACTGTAGTGTACTGTAGTGTTGTGTACTGTAGTGTGGTATAGTGTAGTGTAGTCTAGTCTAGTGTAGTGTAGTGTAGCGTAAGGTAGTGTAGTTGTAGTTGTAGCGTGGTGTAGTGTAATTAGAGTAGTGTCGTGTAGTGCAACTTAGTGGTAGTTACACTTGTAGTTGTAGTTGTAGTTGTAGCGTCATGTAATGCAATTAGTGTGTGTACTGTAGTGTAGTGTAGCGTTGTGTAATGTAATGTAGTTGTAGTTGGATGTGCATTTGTAGTTGTAGTGTGCTGCAGTGTAATTAGTGCAGTGTAATGTAATGTGGTGTAGTCGATACTGTTGTTGTAGCTGTGGTAGTAGTAGTGTAATTAGTGTAGTGTAGCGTAATTAGGTGTAATTAGATGTAATTAGTGTAGTGGAGTGGAGTGGGGTGCAGTGTAGTGTAATTAGTGTAGTGTAATGTAGCGTAGTTTATTTGCATTTGTAGTTGTAGTAGTAGTGTAGTGGTAGTTGTAGTTGTCTATCTATCTATCTATCTATCTATCTATCTACCTACCTATCTACCTACCTACCTATCTATCTATCTATCCATCCATCTATCTACCTATCTATCTGTCTGTCTATCTGCAATCTGCAAGCTTTAAAACGAAGCAATTCTGCGAGAGTTCCTCACTTTTGAACTTGATAACGTCAAAAAGGAAGCAATTCTGCGAGACTTCCTCAATTTTTGAAGTTGGCAACATCAAAAACGAAGCAATTCTGCGATATTTCCTCAATTTTTGAAGTTGGCAAACATCAAAAACGAAGCAATTCTGCGAGACTTCCTTCAATAATGGCTACGCCTCGTACCAATGCCTTTTGCGATTTTTCCAGTCCATGTCTCTGAAGTATTGCGCCTGCCACGAAAGAGTGATGCGAGGTCATACAAAGTGCTGCACTTGTCACACAAAATCATCTTCCCCAAACTGAAGATCGGATGCTCCAAAATGCAACCCCTCTCAGGAAATCAGCGCCCTGACCTCCCAACATCTCTGATGAACATGTCTCTTGCACCTGCCACGGAAAATGCATCTTTGCAGATCCTCTTCAAATGTCCCACGCCTGCCATTGTTTTTGGACATGCTACAAAACCCTCACGTTTTGCTCACTTTCGACAAGGTGCACAATCTCTTACGCCGGCGACGCGAAACGGCATCTGAACGTCCAAAAGTGGTCCAAACATGTGGTGTTTTTAAAATGTTGACTTGGACATGTGCTTCGCACCACAACGGCGTGCATTTTTTCGACATCTCAACTTCCAAAAGTGCTCCGACCATGGTGTGTTTTGTACATATTTTGACTTGGAAATGTGCTAACGGCGTGCACTTTTTCGACATCTCAACTTCCAAAAGTGGTCCGAGCCTGGTGTGCTTTGTACATTTTGACTTGGAAATTTGCTTCCTGCCACAACGGCGTGCACTTTTTCAACATCTCAACTTCCAAAAGTGCTGCTAACGTGAGGTGTTTTTAGATTTTTCGCTTGCAAATGTGCTTCGCGCGTGCAATTTTTCATCTCTCATCTGCCCAGATGGCCCCGCACCCGCCGCTTTAGCGAGCCTACTTTTTGAGCCTCCGGAGCCACAAATCATTGGAAAAACGCCGTGTTTCGCGACTTGCTACCTTTTCGCGCACCTGCATCTTCTTTCTTATCACTCTTTCTCTTCTCTGATCTTCTCTCTTCTGCCCTTCTCTTCTCTGACTCTTCCCACCTCTGCTTTTCCGTCTGTCCATATTGTCGGAAGTTTGACTTCTAAACTTCCTTCGGCCATAACGAGAATTTGGGACGCCCTACCCTCTCTGTTTTTCTTTACATCAGCGCACCCGAAAATCCGGACACAGAAAGCTGCCTCCCACAGAACAAAAACGTTCTCAAAGATTGTTGGGTCTATACCAGTGCCTAAACGACCAACTAACTTTTTCGTCCTTTTCCACATCTATTGGCAATTATAGCTCTCAGCCCTGTATCAGCAACGGTGTCATTCCTCCTTTATTCCCACATTCCATACCTTTCTCCGGTGGTTGTATCCAGTCATTTCTTTTGTTCCACTACCAAACACATTGTTGCTTTCATGCACCTCAGGAATCCTCAGGATACCTTTCTCTATTGGTCAGAAAAATCTTGCGTTTGATCAACCCCCACATGATGCCGCTCAATCTTCCAGGTTTGCTACCAAAATCCCAAGTTTTTGGTTGGTACGAAGCACATCTGGGTGTGGTCAAAATCCGCCAACAACGAAGGTGCTGAGGCATGATCGTTTAGCAGCCGATATCACCGAGTGAAGCAACCGTTCAGTGGCACAGATTCAGCTGGAGAGGGGCCCATGTTCGCCTGAGACAGACCGTCAAACAAATGTTCCCCACTGTGGCACTTCGCGCATCATTCACAGCGGCGCAACATCGTCCAAATTCACTGTTTCGACCCTACTTGTCCGCAACATGGGCTCGACTTGGACCCACTTGGCTCCAACTTGGCGCTGTCGGGTTGAACATGGCACAACTTGGCTCCAAGCTGGACCCGTTTGGGAGCAACTTCGGCCCAAGTTGAGCCACGTCCGCTCAGCCCGGGGGACATTGCCGCAAGACGATGAACCGCGTTTTCACTGGTATTCTCCACGTTTTTTGGCATCGACTCATCGACGAAGCTGAGTTCAGCAATGTTTCCTGTGTCATCTCTACATTGGGCCCCAACTTGGTGCGAAGCTGCCACCAAACGGCTCCAAGTTGCGGGATGTGCTCTGGGTCGATGCGGGCCCAACTTCAGCCCAACTTGACCCATGGCTCTGACGGGGGGTTCATGCCGTTCTCCACATTGGGCTGGTCTTGCCCATGTTAAACCCGACTTGCGTCCAAACGTGCCATGCTGGACCCCAGTTGGGTTGGAGCCAAGTGGCACGAGCTCGGCGCAAGTTATGCTCAAGTGGGCCCAAGCTCGCTCGCGTTCTGCCAACTTAAGGCCAAGGATCGCCAAGTTTGACCCCTGTCGGCTTTGGTTGGGCCAAGTAGGTCCTTGTTCTTCACCCCGCATCCCCAACTACCAAACTCCTCAACTTCGAAAAGTCATCCCTGACCTGCACAATTTCAAAATAATCGGGGTGCGGGCGGTATTCGTCGCGAAGCGACTTGAATACGACCCCCAAAACAAATTCGATCCTTGCTGCTTTACCATCTTTTCTATATTAAGATTACAACCAACATCTCCCATTCGTCCCCTTTTGTACCGATGAGTCCCTTGTGCCCAGCCGCAGGAGGGTGAGAATCCGCAGGCCGTCGTAACCATTCCTGAGGACTCGCCTGCCAGGTGCTTGGAAGGATCTACAACTTTACTAACCATCTACAGATTTTAGCATCAAAGATAATGATTTAGCCATCGAAAATATTGAAAATAATGATTTAGCAATTTAGCCATCAAGCATGGGGATTTGCACATCAAAAAAATTGGCTGCCCCCCTATATATAATCAAAAATGGCTTGCTGGAAAATTGTGTTTTTTTCTTTCTATGATTTTCCTAGTTACATAAAGGCCCATGTGGTTCAGGGATTTCCCAGCCATGGTTGATGACACCGCAGGGTACACACATTGGCTCATCCCAATGCGGGGCTTTGGTTTGAAAGAACTGTTGCAGTTCATCAAAAGCTCACCAGCAAGAAATGGGATCGAATTATCCTCCGCAATCAAACATGGCTAGCTGGGAAATAGCATCCACATGGAAGTTTAATTTGGAAAATCTGTGCAGCAAGTGATGCGAATGGACCGATCTGTCAGTCTGGTACAGCTTCAGCGGGGAGGTGGGGATGCATTTTCAGGATCGACACCAAAAGGATGGTTCTCATTTCGTCCAAATGCGCCATTTCGATCCGACATAGCAGCAACTTCGGCCCAACTTGGGCCCACTTGGCTCCAATTTCGGCCCAACTTGGCTCCAACATGCCGCAACTTGGCCCCGGGAGCAACTTCGCCCCAAGTTTAAGTCCACATGCACTCAAAATGGGGGCACATGGCCGGCCCATTACGAAAACGTTAAAACACGGGTATTCACTGGTACGTTCCATGTTTTTTTCCCTCGATGATGCTTGTGTTGAGCAATGTTCCCAATGTTGTGTCTCCGGTGGGCCCAACTTGGTGTGAAGCTGTCGCCAAAGTGTTCCAAACTGTGGCATGTTGGACTTCCATGCGCATCACATTGCTTCAATTTGAGGCCCAACCTGACCAACTTGGGCTCCAGTCGGGTCCAAGATAGCGCAACTTGGGGCCCAAGTTGGGCCTCTTTAGGGGCAGCCCGTGCCCAAGTTGGGCCCAACCCGGCCAATTTTGCAGACTCACTGCGGCACGCTGAAAACTTGCATTTTTACCGCTATTTCCAACGTTTTTTGGCTTTGGTGCGGGTTCGTGTTGGGCCATGTTGCCCACATCTGTCTTGCACCCAGCTTCAGCGCCAGATGCCCCCACACAGGACCAAGTTGCGCATGTTAAGCCCAACTTGCGTCCAAAACGTGCCCAAGTTGTGCCATGTTGGATCCCATGTTGGACCCCAGTTGGGCTCAAGCTGGGCCCAAGTTGAAGCCAACTGGCCTGAGTTCGGCGCAAGTTACGCCCAAGTTGGGCCCAAATTGGCTCCTGTTGTCCTCATGGTCTCCTTTTTCAAAACCGTAGTTGGATGAGCATCCCAGCTAGACGGTGGTTTAGATGCTTGTTAAGTCCTGTCCCCCTAGGGTGCTCCCATGTTTCACCTGCTACAAATGGATGTGGGAAGCCGCCATAAACAACTACCATCGTTGGGGATGGTCTTTCCAACCCAAGTGGTGATGACTTGGGGGATGGTTGGTGGCATTGGCCCCCCGACCTGCAGGAAGGCTTTGGGAACTTCGCTCTGCTGAATTGTGACGTAAGCATCCAGCAAGCAGCTCTTCAAGAACTCCTACAGCGCAACGGCAAAATTTCTGGGATGATTGTTTAGTATCGCAGAAATAAGGAGCAAATCATCACCCCGTTGGTCCGAAATCTCCTGATTGAGCACACAGAATTGATTAATCCAAACTGGACACTACTGGATATCACCAGAGTTTTGTGGATTCTCAGTTTTGACACGGCCTGACCTATACTCAAAAATTGAAGCTTTCCCCTTCAACCAAAATCACCGCCCGTCATGATTTAAGGACAAAAAAACTGCTTCCTGTCTTCAGGTTGGGAAAACCTAACATACAGTACATGGATACCCCATTTTATGGCCGTCCGAAACTGGACAATAAACATGTAAAAAAAAACACAATCAGAAATCAGAAAACGATGTTTGGTTTTTCCCAACATCAAATCTGACCCATCTCCTCATTCTCAGGACTCAGCACGCAATTCAGATTCCGAGAGATGAAAGGATCTTCCACATGGAGCCGATGCACTTGCCTTCCCGGTAGGTTTGCATACTCCGGGTCTGCTGCATTCATCCGCCTGCATGGCGGAAGTCACTTCGTAAATGTATGTGTTTTACATGCAGAGAGCGTCGTACATACATATATATATATATATACATATCCATGTGTGTGTGTGTGTCTGCATTTGTGTGAACATATACATATATATATATATATAATATGTACATACGTAGGGTATGCCGAGAGAGAGAGAGGGGGTTAGAAGCTACGAACCTAAACCAAAGAACCACAGAATTGAAAATATGTGTGGTTTTCTCAAAAAAATGACAAGTCGTACCCATGTCATGCATATGTCATACCCACATATATATATAATATATAATATATATATATATACCCATGTCATACCCATGTCGTGGAGTCTAGCCAGCACTTTTTTGTGGAACTCCAACCTTTTTCAGCGGAGCGTTAGTGACCTTCCCCCAATGGGCCGTGCTAGATCTGCTGGCCAAGTTCAGAAATGGAGGATTCACCCTCTGGTAATTTACTACAGCTATGGAAAATGGCCATATATTACTTCCCCATTGAAAATGATGATTCTCCAGTGCTATGTTCAATTGCCAGAGGGTACCAAATGCCCATCAAATGATTGGGGAAACGATGATAGCCGAATTGCATGGGGGGGGTCCCGTAGATTTTCAGGTACCGGCCATCTGCGGGCACCTGCCAGTTCGAATAGAGACGACCTCTGATCCCCAGGCAAACCTCGGGAGCGAAAGTCATTGGGGATCACCATCTCTATGCGTGGAAAATGTGGAAACAACTTGAAACAACTGCAACCCTGGCAGGCGCGACTTGATTTTGAATTGACGCAAAGCGGGTGGCCCGCAAATAACACATCGCATGAAAATGTGTTGTTCATTTGTGTTCAACACATTTGCCAACAATATGTTGATTTCGTTACAGAATATAAATGAAACACATAGCATGAATTTGTGCCTATATTGTATGAAGTTGTGCGTATATTGCCATGCTTTTTTTGTCCCCATGCAAAAATAGCGAAACGACATCATGTTGCTTTGTTGAAATCAACAAAAGGTAGACTTTAGTTTTTGTTTACGCCCCGCTTCTTTGACATCAATTTTTGATGAAAAATATATTGCGATATCATGTGGTAACAATGAACTATATTATTTGCCATATGTAAAAAAAAAAAAACGTTGTGACTACATGAAATGTTTTTGCGCAGTTTGTATGACTTTGCGCGTACATTACAATGACTTTTTGGCCACAACAAAAAATACGCAAGCATTCATTGTTTAATTTGTTTTTAACACGTTTGTCAACAATATTTTGATTTCCTTACAGAATATAAATGAAACACATAGCATGAAATTGTGCGTATACTGTGTGAAGCTGCGCATATATTGCATGAAGCTGCGCGTATATTGCCATGGCTTCTTGTCTCCATGCAAACATAGCGAAAAGGCATCATTTTGCTTTGTTGAATTCAACAAAAAGTATATTTTTGATGTTGCTTAGTGTCCCGCTTCATTGAGATCAATTTTTGATGAAGATATATTGCGATATCATGTGGTACCAATGGATTATCTTATTTGTCATAGTCATGAGTCATATGTATCAAGCATTGTGACTTCATGAAATTGATTTTTGCGCAGATTGTGTGACTTTGCACGTACATTACAATGGCTTCGTTGCCACAACAAAAGAAATGTGCAAGCAATATTTGTTTAATTTGTGTTAACCCATTTGCCAAGAATATGTCGATTTCTTTATGTAAAATATAGAAACACGTACCATGAATTTGAATGAAGTTGTTCATATATTGTATGAAGTTGTGCGTATATTGCATGAAGCTGCGCGTATATTGCCATGGCTTCTCGTTTCCAAGCAAAAATAATTAGCGAGACAAATCATTTTTCACTTTTGAAATCAACAAAAGGTACTGTAGATGTCAGTTTCAGAATTTGCTCAATGTCCTTTGCTCAATGCCCTCGTTTCTTTGACATCAATTTTTGATGAAAATACATTGCGATATCATGTGGTACCAATGCATTATTGTATTTATCATACGTATCAATTATTATGACATGAAAATAAAAACACTTGCGCAGATTGTATGATTTTGCACGTACACTGCAATGGCTTCTTGGACCCAAGAAATACACACACGCACCGAAACCAGCCCAGAACCTTCACCGGAACCTTGTCTGGGCTAAAACCCCGAAACGCCAACGCTGTTGAACAATGAAACCACCCGGTCTTGTTGATCGACCGTCCAATCGCGGGGATCAACCAGCTGATTTTGCGTTCTACAGTGGAACAAGAATCCATTGTTTATCATCAATTTCCCTCTCAAAATTGCAACAAATTGGAGATGAATCTCCTATTTTAAGGCAGAATTCAGCCCGCATGTCATCTTGTTGTTGAACAAGAAATATATCCCATCATATCCCCGACAAATATATCCAGAAAATGGTCCGTGTTACACCTGAAAATTTGGACAAACCCGCAAGCTTCAATCAGTTGGTTGAACAATATTGAACGCCCATTATTTGCTGACTAGAACCCCGTTGATGGTAAAATCCCCTTTCTTTCATCGCAAAATCCCCATCTCTGTTAATTAAGTCATCTGTTTTGTCAGTGAAATCAACATATTTCATAACTCTAATCACCATTTTTGTTGGTTAAACCATCAAAATCCTCTGGAAAATCACCATGGTTTGAAGGTCTTTTTAAGTCGTTGGTTGGAGAACTCACCACGCATTTTAAGCGCGCAACTTGTTGGCATAGAAATGAAAAAAGAGCGTCAGGAGTTGCACCAACGGACGCTGGCAGATCCTTGGGGCACCGGGGTGCAGTCTGGGGCACCGGTTTTTCTTCGCGGGGCTTTACCAAGAGTGGTGAGACAATGGGGATCTCATGGGAATACAAAGGCAACACGTAGCAATAAAATCAACTACACAGAGGTAGAAAATCCAAAAGCAAGAACTAACAGAAGCAGCAAGGCAAAGAAGTGAGCATCGCAGAAAAGCAGAAAAGACCCTGAGCAGAAAGGCAAGAGCAGAAGCAAAATGGCAAAAAGGGACAAACGAGGAAGAAAAGGAGCAGAATGCAGGGAAACAAAAAAGCAGAAGCAAAAAAACTAAAAAACACAGAGAATCAAGAAAACTGAAAATCAAAGAAGCAGAGAAACACAAAGGCGCAGAAGCAAAGAAGCAGAAACACGCAGGAAGCAGGAAAAAGGGGTAAAAACCAAACGGTACAGAAAGCAGGAAAGCAATGAAGCATCCAAAGAAAAACAGAAAAAATACACACCGCAAAACAAACAACTAGCTAAACAAATCTCTTCCCAAACAGTTTGCGTCTTTAATTCGTGTTTTTTGAAGCAATGCATCCCTGCTGTACCACCCCATTTCGCCTGGCGAATCTCCATGTTGGTGATATCTACCACTGTATACACACGCTCTAAATGTATACATATATTTAATATAAATATATATAGTTTATATTATTATATATACATATATCATGTACAATATATATATACCATGTATATATATATATATATCATGTATATCTATATATATCATGTATATCTATATATATCATGTATATCTATATATATAAAGATAATATATAGAATACATTATATACTATATTTTATATGAAAAATATATACTACATACATAATAAATATAAAGAATATAATATATATATATATACGGGGGACGCACGGGGTAGGTTGGGGAGGAGGTTGACATGAAGGTCTTCCGGCCAGTACATTCTTCTCACAAAGCCTTGCGACGCTCAAGATTGTCACACAGCACCTTATCTCAGACAACATGGTTTGGATGTGAGCCGCCAATTGTTTGGAGCTACTTCCTATAATTATGTGTATGTATATATATATATACATATGCTGCAAATACAATATATATATATATATGTGTGTGTGTGTTGTACATATTATATATATATTATATATTATATATATATGTATATTATATATATATGTATATATATCCCATTATTAGGAACCAATCATCAAGGCTACAGGCTACATCCCGAGTGTCCAAGTGCTGGAATCTGCGCGAAATGTGCTGCCCTGACTGCTGAAGCTGCTCACCGGTAGACAAGGCAAATTTAAGGTTCCCTCCACCTGCCTCAGACGCAGACGCACCGCTTGGAGGAGCAGGAAGCGCCCGAAAGGCGAAAAGAAATGAACGGACCAAATGATCATGCTGATTCTCACGAGAAATGACAGGAAATTCGTGTTTTTTTGACGACTTTGATCATTACACTATACTGAGTATACTGTGCTCCGGTTTTTGTTGGCCAGGATTTCAGGTTCGGAAAAGTTTCCATCCAGCCGCCCTCTATGCTTCGCCATGGTGGCCGTTAGAGTCAACACAACTACAATGGTAAATTAGTTTTGATAGCTGATTCAAACTATATATATATAAGTCATAACATAATTGACCACAATCCTACTACCATAGTTGTTGCAGTTATTGTACGACGATCATACTTATCAATACTACTATCACAGTTTATACTGCTACTGACCACAGTAATCAATTATCTACAACATTCTACAACTATCAGAACTACACCAAGCCAGTGGCAGGAAGTAGATGACCATGATTGCGAAAGCATAGGACGAGAGATGCCCCAAGGGTGCACCGCAGACCTAGGATTTGACGATGGGGGAATGGATCGAAACCTATAAATTCTAGTGGTTGAATGGGGGTTGAATGGGGGTTATGAAGGTTTGATGGGGTTTAATTGTGGCGTCCAAGGGTTGAATGTTTCAAATCATCAATAGTTAGTTCAGTTAAATCATATTCAATCGGGGGTTTAACCATCGTGCAAGCTATTTGATCATTAATGAAGTCACAGTAGTTGTCCATGTTTTTTGGGATGACCATCCAGCAAAATCCCAGCGAAAACTTTTTCACTTGCGGATCCGATGGATTTCTGACTAATTCCCAGTAGAAAAACAACAATTGGTTGGTCACCACAGCAACACCAACAAACAATGGTTGGGCCCCCAAAGATACAAGAGTAAATCATCTTTGGTGGGGCACCAGTATAATCCAGGATTGGACATTTGGATGTCTGAGACCGTGGACCTTTCTCGGATTTCTGAAGTTTCTGCCGCGAAACAACAGGCCCCTCGAAAAAAGTCATGGCCCAGTCCGCACAGCAGATCCAAGATGGTCCAAGGAACATTTTCGGCTTTCGCCCAGCACTTCACACATAAAACCAGTTCCCGGATCCGGGGACTTAGAGTCGAATAGGCTTCTTAGTGTAGCGCCGAGCTGTCGAAAACTGAGTGGCAAAACTGAGTGGTTAATGGGATTCCCGGCACATTGATTGTGGTGGTCATCTCAAAAATCAGAGTCAGTACCACCATCAGAGGCCCATCATGTGCGCTAAAACCACAGGAAAAATCTGGTGGATTTCTCAGCCACAAAAAGAATGACTGCGCGAAGCTAGTACACCATCGAGGATCACGGGATACATCCATTTCATTAATATACATGTGTATGTATGTATATATATATATATGTATATATATATACACCTGTATATATATATATGGAAGTATATGGATATACCGTAACTAAGGATGCACTCTTTCTGAAAAGGTGGACATGCACCCCCAAGAAAAGCATCGGCAACAGCAAAAACAGTTTGCCTTCGGTTCCTCATTTTTACAGGACCAATCCCCAGGTGACAACATCATCAACTTCCATCCTGTAACATGGCGATGGAACATTCCCTGCAGGTGTGTGTATGTATATATATATGGATAAGAAAGAAAGAAAGAAAGGAAGAAAGATTAGATTGGATTGGATTGGATTGGATTAGATTAGATTAGATAGATAGATAGATAGATAGATAGTCAGATGCTTAGATACATATTTATAGATATATATATATATACATTCATTATTTATATATATATACATTCATTATATATATATAATATATACATTGACATATGATATGCAATGAACCACACGGATATCTCACTGCCATTTTTTTCATCACTGGGTCAACCAATCCCAACCAACTCCTCGACCCAGCTTCGAAGAAGATGCGTATTTTGCAAGGCCTGTGGATTGTGGCCTCGCCAAGAGACTCTAAGCTGGCGGGGGAAATCCATCATTTGTAGATGGGGCTGCATCAGGTAGGCGATGTGCAAAATCTGCGGTTTGTCCGAACAGAGGTTCCCCAACAAAATTGGAATATGGAAAATGATGACAAACTCTCGAAATATGCCAAAATCTAGGGTCCCCTATTTTCAGGCAAACCGATTTTTGAACAGTAACCACCCCCGAATACCAAGGGACAAGACAAGTCGACATCGATTATATCCATATACCGCAGCTTGATGATTGGTACCCGTGCAGACCAGACTTCCTGCGGGTCGCGAGGAGCGAAATGAATCAGTTTGATCACTCTGAGAATTGGAGCATTTTTTGGGACCAGGGTTTTTCCGAGACAAACTTTTTCAAGCGGATTGAGCCAACCAGCTAACCATCTATTGGTGGGGGGTCACCCGCAGGTTGACTACCACAAACCAACGTGCCGAATAAACCATCTAGCAATCCCAATAAAATAGAAAATGTGTCACCATGTGTTTAGTAGGATTCTACTATTCTAAAGTTCTATCTTTTTGGTGGTCACTAATTGTATTTTTTGTCACAGCTCCAAAAGTATTCTGTACCCTGTGAAAAGCTGTGAAAAACAACCCCCAAATGATAACTCAATCATTGAAAATGGGGATATAATGGGATAAGCATGGACAGAGTATAGAATTCGCGAACCTGAAGACTTCGGCCACTTAGGGATGATTCTCCCTATACCATCCTTCCAGTATCGTGGCTCCTGTATCACCTGAAATTGTGGCTGCTGGCCCAACAGCGGCCCGAATCGGAATCTCAACTCTTGCAGCGCCATCTGGCTATCCTGATCCTGACACAGAGGCGCGCCCTTATGCAGATCCGTGAGCTCAGAATTTCATGAATTTTATGGCTGGTTACCCTCTGGTAAACTAACATAGCTATGGAAAATCACAATTTTTTATGGGTAAATCAACTATAAATGGCCATTTCCAATAGCTACGTTAAATTACCAGAGGGTACCCCATCTGGACAAGTCATCCACATGGCAAATGGGTGGCTCATGGGTCCCCTCGACCTGGATGTCCCCCTTATAGCAAGTCACCTCAGATCGCTGGGACACCGAACCCCAGGTCCGATGCGGAAACCATGCGGCTGGGACCAACGGAATTGCTGAGGAGTTCCCTGTTTTGTTATTGTCCCTCAGGACTGGTACATGTCCTAATTGAACATCACCCAACTATTGAGGATATGCTCTGCAAGAGATACTTGAAAGTGATGTTTAAAATCCCCAAAACAGTACATTTACCAACGCCTGTCCCTCATGCAAGTATTTCGCGATTCACAAACAAGAATCAGGCCAGTCGTCTGAAGTGAAAGATGGGTATGCTGGTGGATGCTGCTGTCACAGCAACTGAATTTGGAGGTCATGTTGAGCACCACGTGATGTCAACACTGTGTCCCATGAATGGAGAAGGCACCGCAATCAAATTGTACGAGGCACGAGGGTTTCCGTAGTTCATCTGGTATATCCAGAAAAAACAACTGGGTATCGTATTATTACCCGATTTGATGGTTCCACTGAACCTGCTATTCGCCACGACCCTGTTTTCATACCAAAACAAAACGTAAGATTGCCACCACGGCCACGTCAAGATCCGCTCCACGAGATAAAAAACCGTTGGCAGCACTTCCGAATGCCTGCCCCAGAAGGCCATGATCTTCCGATGGGACCCGAAAAGAATGATGTGGTAAACCCAAGAATGCAGCCCAAAATCATCATTTTGATGGGCGCTATGTTTACCGTCCCCAGTCATAGTCATGGGGATTGTTTATGGCAGCCAGGGTTTCCCACATTAGATCCAATACTGATCCAGGGTTTTGTGGTGAAGATTCGCCCTGTTCATAAGTCCTTATTCTTGGGGGTCACTGACATTGGGGGGTTGGTGGAATCCCCACCATATGTTTGTGATACCCAATTACATCCCTTTATACCCCCATGATACCACCATGTTTGCTTTAAGTCTGTTGATTCACGAAGGTCTTCACATAGCTAGATCGACGAACAGTTCAGCTGGCGACTGTGCAGTTGGTGAACAACCTAATCGACGCCGCCTTTAGCGACCCTAGGCGGTTTGCTAATTTTTGCAATGTTGTCTTGTTGCAGGTCATATAGCGCATGTGTTTTTTGTGGTTGTGTTGTCACATGTCATATTTTGCATTTTCATTTGGGTTGAGGGGTGGGGAGGTGGAGGGTGGGGCCTAGTTTTGTCGCCTCTTCTTTTGGCAGGTGCTTTAAATTTTGTCAGATTTCTGTTTCACACGCTGTTGATGCTACGCCTCAACTCTTTTGTCTTTAGTCTTTCGTGTGCCATCTAACGCGCTCTTGGCGCTACGCTCTGAACACTTTCATGTAACATCGAACACGCGTTTGGTGCTACGCTCTGAATAGTTTCATGTAACATCCAACATGCTTTTGGTGCTACGCTCAGAACACTTTCATGTAACATCTAACACGCTGTTGGTGTTACGCTCTGAAGACGTTCATGAAGCATCTAACACACTGTGAACAGTTTCATGTAGCATCCAACACATTCTGAACACCTTCATGTAACATCCAACACGCTCTGAAACCTCTGGATGATCAGTTGAAACAGCTGGGCACCTTGGCAAAGACTTGCAAGTGAAAAACAGCAAATGCAAATACCAATCGAATTGCAAGTCTACACAAAATGCTCTGGACACAAAACCCTGGAAGGGTTGTGAAAACAAAGACTTGGCAGCAAAAAAACAAAGTGCAAATCAGCGGGTCATTGCGGGCGGCGTGACCTTGCTTCTTCCCCCATTTCTGGCAGTTAACATGCCGTATTTATTAAGAAAAAAACATATTTTTGAAGGAGAAGGTATTCCCAGACTTCGAACAACCCCCATATTCAACATTTGATTTTTGGGTTACTCAAACCTCCATTTTTGATGGAGATGTCCAACAGTTCTTCCATGATTTTCCCATGATAATCCCGTGAATGATAACGTCCATTATTCATGATTTTCCACATTGTTCATGATTGCTCATATTTTCCCAACGTTTTTCCTTTGGTTTAGAATTTGTTTCATGGGAATTTCCCAACGACCAGAGGGTCAAAAGCCTCCAATCTTCCAGATCTCAGGTTCCCATCTGGCAGTGGCCCGCGCCTTGACTTCCCAACCAGGTCCCACTTGACGTGCCAATTGTTGGAGGTGATGAATGCCTCAATGAAGGACTGGGCACAGATGGTGGGATATGTTCCAGGTATGTGTGTGCGTAGATAGAAAGATAGATAGATAGATAGATAGACAGATAGATAGATGGATGGATAGATAGAGGGATAGAAAGAATGGCTGAATTCCCTATCTTTTTCCATGGTTTTCCCATGGTTTTTCCCACCCAAATTGTCAAATCTGGTTTTGCCATAGCGAGTCACAGGCGGAGTGGACGTGCTGCTCCTCTGGGATCGGTGCCATGAAGTTCACTGTAGCCTTTCGTGGGATGGTCATCAGATGGTGGCTCTTGATGGGGACAGGATATCAATGAGATATTTTCGATGAGGATTTCAGCATGGCAAATGTGGATTCAATGGGATATTTTTATTGGGGTTTCATGGAATATATATATATATATGTATATATATATATATGTATGTATATATACATATATATATGTATGTGTATATATATATGTATGTATATATATATGTATATATATATGTATGTATATATATATATGTATATGTATATATATATATGTGTATGTATATATATATAGATATATGTATGTATGTATGTATGTATATATATATGTATGTATGTATGTATGTATGTATATATATATATGTATGTATATATATATATGTATGTCTGTCTGTCTGTCTGTCTGTCTGTATGTATACCTCTCTTGGGTATACATAAAAAGAAAACAAAAAAGGGAATATCAACCCATATCGATGGGATTTATAACTGGATCTAAAAATGAAATTGGACAAGGCAGCAAAGATCCAATACAAAATGCCACCTGACTATATCGAAACTGCAGGTCTCATGGTGGCCTGGAGATATAACTGGGTATCTAATGGGATGGGAAAGCGAACTTACGATGAACTTACACTGATGGTGGCTGGAACTTGATGCCACCTGCTCCAAAGTCATCCCAAAATTGATGGGGAATTAGCAAATCAAGACTCAATGAATTATTAATGGAGACATCATGGGAGATATAACTCTCGGGTATTAAACCACACATGTGGTGATATCTAATATAAGCACATATATATACATATATACCACGAGGGCCCCTTTCAGAGAAGCCATGTCTGCTTGAATTTGAAGCTCCATTCTCAGAGCCGCCTTGCACGCACTGAATCTAAAGCGGGCCCCGAGTAAGAAGAGACAATTTGAAGGTAGAAAGACACATAAAGACACGTTAAGAAAAGCCCGGGAACACAATGCAAGCATAAGACGCACAGATGCTTGACTTGTGGTGTGTCTAGGCCCGTTGCGGCTTCCTCCCAGTTTGGTATAACATTGTAATTCCCAAACGAGGTATGCGGGCGCTCCTATAAATTTGATTTGCCCGAGATATGATCTGTGGAAGTTCCCAGGAATTACGGGGCCGTGCCGGGGCCTCAGCGGGGCCGCTACTGTAATTTCCAGCAAAAATGGTCGTGACCACTGGCGGCCGTAAGAGCTGCCGAAGGTAGATTGCAGTTTCTCATTGATGAAGCAGGGCCGCTGCAGGACCGGCGCGGGCCACCAGTTGCTATACCCACAGGAAATGTGCTGGTCTATAGAACATGTACAAACACGTCTTCAAACCATAATACCTTCGTGGAGTTTCCGGCACATCAAAGACGAGTGTTTGACACAATTGCCGCTCACTTGCCTGAGCCGTTGGCACTTTCTTGGGCATTTGCAAGTGGAGTTGGGCTGCGGCATCTGCACCGCATAACAGCAATACTGGGGCCAGAAAGGAGCTATTGTTGGCTTCGCCGTGGAGGACCCTCAATGTAAATTATATACATGTGTATATAGATATATATATATGGTCCAGCGTTCCAACCCCCCTCCCACCCCCCACGCCATGGTCATGGGTCAGCCATAGTAGTGTCCCCCTACCCCTGACCCTGTGGTGTGGTGGGGGTGGGGTACTGTCCCCCTCGCCCCCCCTGTGGTGTGGTGGGGGTGTGGTACTGCGTATGTATGTATGTATGCATATATTACATATATATGTATATATATATATGCATATGTATGTATATGTATATATATATATATGCATATGTATGTGTATATACATATATATATACATACTTAAATATATATGTATATGCATGTATATATATATATGTACATATGTATGTATACATGAAAATATAGATGTGAATATATATATATATATATGTGTGTGTTTCAATATTATATATATATATATGTATAAATAAATATGTATATATATATGTATACATATATATATATGTATATATATATAAAGCATGTATACTCATATGAATAGATGTTTATTTGTGTGTAAATATAAATATATATATATATATATTTATTTATTTACCTGTGTTTATATATATATGTTTATGTATGTATGTATGTATGTACGTATGTATGTATGTATGTATGTATCTATATATATATATGTTTGTATATGAATATATGTATGTATATATATGTGTGTGTATTAGGAAGTAGATACATAGCACATGTATATATGACCTGACTATAGGTAGCACGTAGGTACTTTGAGGGAGTATGTGTGCTACGTAGGTCGTCTAAAAGGTGACATGTACCTAGTAAATGCGAGGCTGGTAGTCACAATCGCTGCAAAGACCTAGCAAACACGAGCTGGACCTCAAAAATGCTGCCAATAGCTTGCAAAATAGAAGGGGAGGGGGTGCTACCTGGGGAACCATACCATTGGGGGGGGTAGGAACACGGAACACGAGACCATATATATATATTGTTTGTGCTCTTGTTCATATGCCTGCATATCCCATTCTGCATTTCATTCAATCCAACATTACCTTAGCCGTTTCGAGATCGAAAACAAGAAGGCGCGTCCGTGCATTGGGCGTTGGTGTGGGAAGACCCGCACAAATCGAGAAGTGTACAAGGCACACAAGGCGAAGGACACTTGGGACTCAGGGCTGACCGTAAACAGGTTATGAGCCCAAGGTGACGCTCTATGGAGGCGATGCAGAGGCGAAAGGCAACCCCTGAGGAGCTGAAACAAGGCATGGAGCAGATGATGGCTGCCCAGGAAAGGTTGTCTAAAGAAGCAACTGAGGAACCCATAGAAGATATCCCTGGGTCTCACAGTGATGTAGCTCAAGGGAAAGAACCTAGGCTAGAAGATGCAAAAGAGTTTTTGGATGTTGGTTCAGAAGGAATTGAGACGTCAAGGGATGTTGCACCATCCCAGCAAGAAGGGCAGAAGGCAGAAAGGAGTTCCCCGAAGAGGTTAGAGGATAGTCAGGGTTCGAAGCAGCCCCCAAAAACCCCAAAGCGGATCTCAGTTTCTGCCCCTGCCGCGCAGAGCTCAGAGCCAGCAGCTAGCGTTGCTCAGAAGCCTGGAGCAGAAAGCGTCTCAGGCAAAGGAAAGGGAACGAAAAGAGAAGAAAAGACAGGACAGGACTTGGCATGTGATCCTGTTAGACCACCTGTGGAGTCTCAGATGTACACCGCAGGTTTTGAGTCAGGTCCTGATAGATCTCACATGACCACACCTCTGTTTTCAGCACAGCAGCTTAGAGAATGGGAAGAGTTGCATAGCAGAGCACCATGGCTTTACAGGCTCACTCCAGGCGTTCAGAGGCCTGTTTGGCTGGAAGAAGAGGAGCGAAGACCCCGCCTGTTGCAGGAGGAAAGAGCTGAGGAAGAAGAAAGAGCGCGTCGGCTTCAGAGAGAGGCCGAAGTGAATGAGATGAGAAGGAGGCTTCAGTCTCTTGAAGAGGAGAACTTGCGTTTGAAGATGGAGCGAGAGAATTTGCGGCAGAGCATAGCTCAGCCGAAGGGTTCTAGCTATGGCACCCCAGAAGATAAAGATGCTGAAGTTTTTCCCAAGGAGGCTGAGACCACCAAAGAGGAGGCCCAGACCCCCAAGGGAGGATCAGGTGAGGCAGAGGATCAAAAGGAAGAGAACAGAGGGTCAGCTGGAGCTCAGCTGCCGATGAATGAGGAGCGTAAGCTGCAAGCAACAATGATGCACAGCATGGTGAAGCTCATGGAGGGCATGCAGACTATGCAAGCGCAGATTTTGGACGTTCGGCGTCAGAAAGACGTTGAAGTTGTCAAGAATGCGGCAGTGGAGTTGCCGAAGTTGCAAGAGTGGAAGGCTGATACAGCCCCTTTGGATTTGGCAGACTGGCTGTTGGTCGTAGAACCGGTCCTTTCCGACCTCTCCGACAATAGTCAGCAGTGGTGGGAGGCTATGTTGGCTTCTGTTCGTCAATGGTATGCAGAACACCAAGAAAAGACACCTTTAGAGCGAGTCAATCACAAGCCACAGGTCCCTCTTCCACTTCAAGATCCACGCTTCCAGAGGTTGGAAAAGCGTGCAACTGCTCTTTTGATGTCGGCCATTCCTCCTGCGCAACAAGAGGAGGTGGTGGCTTCCAAAGAGGTGAACACCGTCGGGATCTTGTCCCGGCTCATGCTATGCTATCAACCTGGAGGGCTCTCAGAAAAAGGGGCCATTCTCACGGCCTTAGATTCTCCGGAGGAGGCATCAAGCTTGGCTGGAGCGGTGACTGGTCTTCGACGTTGGCTGAGATGGCATCGAAGGGCTGGAGAAGTTGGTGTCACCCGCCCAGATGCGACTTTGCAGATCAAAGGTCTTGGGCGTTTGATGAAGCGAGTTTTGAAGGATAACGCCGATTTGGCGTTTAGAGTGCAACTATCGAGAAGCAGTTTGCAAGTGGATACAGCTCCGACTGAAGCGTCTGTGATGACGTTTGCCAACCATCTACTTGCGGAAGTGGAACAAACAGCACATCAAGACAAGAGGAGAAAGGAAGATGGGAAGAGCAGCACAGAACCAAAGGTAAAAAGGCTGGAGGAGTTTGCTTGAGGTTCAAAAGGTGAAGGCAAGGCATGGAGGGGAGAAGGTGCGCAGTCTTCATCTCCATGCAAGTTCTTTCAGTCGGAGGAGGGCTGTAAGAAGGGCAAACAATGCACTTGGAGCCATGTCCTGGAAGGAGACCGAAGGCGTTGCTGGACGTGTGGCTCGACAGGCCATTTGGCTCCAGCGTGTGATCGCCCCAGGGAGCCTCTCAGAGACCAAGGCGAGAAAGGTCAGAAGGGAGGAGAAGGCAAGGGTTTCCACAAGCCCAGTGGCAAGGCTTTGAAGAAGGGCGAGAGCCAACAGAAAGAAGAAGGGCCTGGAGGAGAGGCTACAAGTGAGGAGTCAGCAACATCAGCAGAGACGATGAAAGGTCTGTTGGAAGAAGCCAACAGGATCTTGAAGGGCCTGTCGGCAAGGACAGGAGAAGCCGAAAGCAGGACAAAGGATGAAAGACTGATTGCCATGCAAGGCCAGTTGGATGAACTCCGGGAGCTGAAGGTTTTGAGGCTGTCACGCATAGGGAAGGAACAAGAAGCCTATGGCCTGCTCGACAGTGGAGCAACCAACCCCATGCGTGGCAAAAGAAGAGGAGAAAATCTGTCACAACTGGAAGAGGTCCAGGTGACGCTGGCCGACGGCAGTCAGGTAGGGATGAAGATGACGGCATCAGGAGTCATGGTGGTGGAAGATGAGTGGGCCGAACCCATTGTCCCACTTGGCCTCCTGACTAGCAAGTTAGGATATGTGGCGTCGTGGAAGAAAGGGCGCATGACTCTAAGCCACCCCATTGATGGAAAGGTGGAGGTCTGCATGAGAAGTGGATGTCCTCAGGTATCCCGGCTTGATGCCTTGAGGATTATTCAGAAGCTGGAAGAGGTGGAGACGCCAAGAATGCAGGCCCTGAAGCTTAGCCAAGAAGAGATGTGGCTGTGGGGGTTGATGGAAGCCCATCCGGTACTGAGGATGTTGCCGGAAGCCATCAAAAGAAGATTGGTGGTGAAGCCAGCAGAGGATCTCAGAGGTATCCCTGATGCAAACCGCCGAAGAAGAAGAGTGATGGCAGAACAGGGGTTCGTGGTTCACCTCTATGCCGGTGAGAGTGCCGGGTACAACCTCAGCCGAGCGTTCAAAGAAGCAGGAGGAGATGGACGAAGGCTGGTGGAAATAGATGTAAAGAGGGAAAACCACGAGAAGCACAGGAAAGGAGCACACGATATGCTCGATGATGAGAATGGACCTTTTGCGTCCCTATTGAGGAGTGCCTTGGATGGATCGCTGCTGGGCATTGTCATGGGCCCAAATTGTAGGACGAGGTCAGTTCTTCGTCACTACCCGTTGGCAATCCCAGGAGGAGGTCCTCGGCCGTTGAGGAGTTGGGATCAGCCATGGGGGAAATCAGGTAATACCCCAGAGGAGCAGCGAAAGGTGGAGGATGATGATGTGTTGCTTTGGAGGGGACTGATGTTGTTCATCATCAGGGAGGAGGTCAGGAAGGCGCTCCACAGTGACAAAATTCCTGTCACAAGGTTGGGATTGGAGCAGCCAGCAGATCCAACCCACTACATTCCCGAGGTGGTCACGCTCTGGAAGACTGAGGAATGGGAACTGCTTCGAAGCATGTACGACCTTAAAGCCCAGAGCTTTAAGCAGTCAGCCTGGGGAGGTCGAGCAGTAAACCCACGACGTTTGCTGGCAACATCACTCTGAGGCTGCCGGAGGAAGACCAAGCAGAGAGCTTTGAGGAGTCGGCAGCGAAAGCTCAGGTGATGAACTCAGCGGAGCTGTCAAGATGGCGCCGGGAATGATGAAGGAAGTTGCCATGAGGATCCAGCAGGATGTCCTTCGAGCGAAGCTGAAGGCGGCCAAGATGTCATGGGCAGAGCATCTGGAAAGGGGGCACACACCGTTTCGACGTGACTGTAGAGTGTGTCAAGAAGCATCAGCCAGAGGTCGGATGCATTCTAAGGTGAAGCATCCCAGGGCAGGTGTGATGAGCCTGGATGTTACCGGTCCCTACAAGAAAGGGAAGGACATCGATGGTGAAGCCAAGTTCATGTTGATTGGCACCTACACCTGGCTCAGACCCCCCGATGAGGAAGAGGCAACAGAAGTTGATGAAGAACCAGAGCTCGAAGCCCAAGAAGATGAGGATCAGTGGCCAGAGATTGAAGATCAAGAAGCCGCACAAGAGGAAGAAGAAGAGCAGGCAGAAGCAGCAGAAGACCCCCAGGAAGAGCAACAAGCAGAACCCCCACGGGCATTTGAGGAGCCCCCCGAACCCCCGAAGATTGAAGTTATGAGAATCGGCATTCCCATCAAAGGGAAAACACAAGAAGCAGTCCTGAGTGGCTTCATTGAGTTGTACCTTCAGTTGAAGGTGGATGGTTTTCCGGTGCATACAGTGCACACGGATCGAGGCCGTGAATTAGTCAATCGACGATTCAGAAGTTGGTTAAAATGCAGAGGAGTTGTGCATTCAACCAACAGAGGAGAAGATCCTATGGCCAATGGAAGAGCCGAAAGGGCTGTTGGCGAAGTGAAGAGAAGAATGAGAAGGATTCTCCACGGCTCGGAGATGGATGTGTGTTGGTGGCCTATGGCACTCAGGTTCCTGATGGAGTCAGCCAGATTGAGGAGGAAGAAGGAGGGCATCAAGGTACCCCAGTTTGGGGAGAAGCTACTGGTGAAGACAAGGAACTGGCGCACAAAGGCCTTTCAACCCACACATGAAGCAGCACGATACTTGGCACCAGCCAAAGAGGCACATGGGCATTGCGTGCTGAGAGAAGATGGACGTTGGGGTGTTGCCCCTTATGTGGTTCGAAGCATACAGGAACCACCGCCGCCCAAAGATGAGATGTGGCTGGCGATTGCAGAGGAGGTGGAAAGGGACGAAATCCAGGAGAGGAGAAGGATCAGAGAGAAGAGGCCAATCAGGGATGGAGGACTGGAAGGCCTTTTGGGGATCAGAAGAATGATCCAAGAAGAAGCACAGAGCGTGGAGATGGACCAGCTGGACAACGCACTGCTCACCTTTCAGAAGATGGACCCTTGGAAGAAGGTGATGAAAAGGGCGGAGGGAGCAGAGCAGGAGATTCTACAGACAAAGATAGTCTCTCCGCAAGAGCTGGTGAAAGATGTCCACCTCTGGGATGAAGCCATTGAGGCCGAGCTAGATGCTCTCCTTAATGCCAAGGAAGCTTTGAGGAAGATCACTTCAGAAGAAAAGGCCAGGCTAGAGGAGAGGCATCCCGACCTGCTCGTGGTGCCCTCGAAGTTGGTCATCACGAGAAAGGCAGGTGGTCGCCGAAAGGTGCGGATTGTGGCTTGTGGAAACTACGTCGAGAAGACAGAGAAAGAAGATGTCTTTGCTAGTGGATCAGATTCCATTAGCTTCCGCATAGCACTGAAGAAGAGCTTGGATGAAGGATGGTCAGGAGCCACAGCCGACATCAGGACGGCGTTCTTGAATGCACCTCTCGGTAGGTCGGCAGAAGCTTTGGAGGGCCTATGGAAGAAAGAAGAGCTTGAGGAGCTAGGCCAAGAAGTGGTGGTAGTTCTGGTTAAGCCACCAGCCCTGCTGATCAAGCTCGGCTACATCAGCCCCGAAGACTGGTGGGTCGCAGTCAAGGCGGTCTACGGGCTGAGACAGAGCCCCAAGGCTTGGGGTGACCACAGAGCCCTGGTTCAATCCACCACGGACCCAAACGTCTGGAAGATCGTGAAAAGGTCCGGTGGGCTGGATGAGGAGATGGAAGGGCTATGTGTGGTGTATGTTGATGACCTGATGGTCTTATCCCAAGAGCACATCGTCAAGGAGTGCCTTGAGAGGATATCCCGAGAGTGGGAAATAAGCACCCCGGAATGGCTAAACGAGGTCAAGCCAGTCAAATTCCTGGGGATGGAGGTCTTGATGGGCACAAAGAGTGCTTTCATCACACAAGAGAGCTACGTACAGGACCTCCTCAGACGAAATGGCGAAGAGGAAGGCCATAAGTCTGGAATTCCGATCTCAAAGGATCAGGTGTTGAGGCTGGAAGAAGAAGACCACACGAAAAGCCCAGAAGACGTCAAGGCTGCACAGCGTGCCACTGGCGAGCTGATGTGGCTTGTCACACGCAGCCGTCCAGATTTGATGTTTGCACTGAGTAAGATGTCCCAAGCCACACTGAAGAACCCCAAAGAAGTCCTCTTGGTCGCCAAGCAGGTGTGGAAATATTTGAGGAAGACCAAGGCAGAAGGTCTGGAGCTGAAGGCTGGCGGTAAGGACCTTGAGGTTTATACAGATTCCTCCTACGGACCAGGTGGTCTCGACTCCCAAGGAACTGTATTGGTGTTATGGGGAAAAAGCCCCATCATGTGGAAATCGGGCCGACAAGGAGCGCCTGCCCTCTCAACAGCTGAGAGTGAGCTGACAGAGGGAATTGATGGAATGATCATGGGGGATAGTGTGGATGTTCTCATTCTGGAGCTCAGCCAGGATACATATGCCAAGGTGATCAAGATAGACAACACAGCAGCAGTGAGCTTGATGACAGAAGCTGCTGGAAGTTGGCGCACACGCCATCTGAGATTGAGGGCGTCCCATCTGCGGTGGAGGATTGGACGATTGGATTGGGTGGTGGAGGCGATCTCAGGTCAGGTGCAGATTGCAGACATTGGGACAAAGGCCCTCACAGCTCCGAGGTTAGAGGAGTTGAAGCAGATGATGGGCATGAAGCAGAGAAGAGATGATCAAGAGGAGGAGAGGCAGGAGCAGAAGGATTCAGGATCGAGCCAGCACATGAAGAAAGGAGCAGAGGAGACAGGGCTTCAGGAGGCAGGAGCAGAGGTTGAGAGGATTTTGAGGATGGTCATCCTCCTCTGCAGCGTCCAACAGGCCAAAGCTCAAGAACAGGAAGAGGAGGAGGGTTGGAGCTCTTTAGCTCAACTTGTAGCTCTGACGGTGTTTGCCATGATCGGCGTCACGACATGCATAGGCTGGATGGTGAGGTTGATGACCCCAGCGAGGAGGAGCTTGGAAGAAGAAGAATTGAAGAAGAGAGTGAAAGAAGCACTCTCGGCAGACTCGAGCCAGAGGGGCGCGAGTCGTGCACAGGAGTCAAGCCATGGAAGGGCGACTCCGACGAGGAAGGAGCAGGGCCATGAGGATGAAGGAGGAAGACAGCAGCAGGCGGCAGCCAGCTCAACATCTGGAGTTCACACACCAGAGGAGCCAGCATCTAGTTCTCAAGCAGTCCCCCCATCCCAGATCTCCGTGAAGGCTCCGCCACCGATTACCAAACAAGCTCCGCTACCAGCACCAGCCAGCACCCAACACCAGAGAACAGTGCCAACTATGAGCGGGAACACATGGACCCCGGGAGAAGAAAGAGGCCAGAGGGCGGTGAGAGGAAGCATCCGATCACCAATTTTTGTGACTCCATGGGGTGCCCGCTATCATGAATACACAAGTTGTCCTACTTTGGCCAACACAAAGAGATTTGTGCCGTGTCAGTGGTGCGATGCTTGCGCCCCACTCGGAAAGACTGGAGACCAACCGGTGTACACGTGTGGACCGGGTTCGAAAGCGCACTACGATTCCGACTGCGTTGCGATGACTGACTCTGGAAGAAAGTATCAGAAATGTCAGCGCTGCGTGGATGCGACTTAGCGAGTGAGAGACGGCTTGAGTCAATCTTCGAAGGTCACCGTTTTTAGGTTTTTGTTACCTTCCACTGGCACCGAATGCTTGTGGCCATGGATGGAAATTCCCATGCCAATTGAATTTTCTAAATGCGTCAAATGTGTAATCTGCAGATGGGCATCGCAGATTAGGAGGAGTGTTTGTGCTCTTGTTCATATGCCTGCATATCCCATTCTGCATTTCATTCAATCCAACATTACCTTAGCCGTTTCGAGATCGAAAACAAGAAGGCGCGTCCGTGGATTGGGCGTTGGTGTGGGAAGACGCACAAATCGAGAAGTGTACAAGGCACACAAGGCGAAGGACACTTGGGACTCAGGGCTGACCTTAAACATACATATATATATATATATATATCGCAGGAATTTAATAGGATATGAATGGGATATGACTCAAACATGGGGATATCATCGAGATGTATAATAAGATGGAATTTCATACAATGGTGGCTGTGAGCCACCCCTGTAAAAGGCTGCAAAAATGAATGAGGATCATCATCCTATTTACATGCTTGAAAATATCAAATATGTCAAACCACCAACCAATCATGATGAGCATCGCAAAAACCCTATGAAAATGGGCGGATGCAATCTCCGGATATCTAATTGGCTGACTTACTCGTATTGGGTGACCAGATGAAGTCAGCTTCCATTGCAGGCTGAGGACTGTTCTGTGGATGTTCAATGGATTTGTTTGACTTCTGCGAGCCACAGATTGGCTGGTACTTGTGATATGATAAGCAGGTAAACAGAATATGACGGGGTTTATGATGGGGTTTACCGCATTTATGAAATTAGCTGAGCGGCCAGATGTGTGCCACGGTCAGGTTACAATCTTTATATATTATATCTTTTCCCAAACTTTCACCCAATTCTTGGGTCCCAGTGGGGTCGCGCGACACAATCCTTTTTAATATCCAAGCTGGCCTGCGGTTGCCAGATCTGGGGCCGGTCGAAACGATCTGTGCATCGCCATCCTACTGAATGAATTGGTGGAACTCAGCTGCGTGCACCGATGACATCAACATCCTTCTCGTCGCCCGACATCACCTCTGCCTTCTCAATCCCGCCCAACTCATCATTCTCCCCTCCCAGCTGCGCAGAATAGGCAAACCTCTGAGTATCCTTAGAGTTGCTGACCGGAAACCCATAGAATCCATAGCACCAAGAAATCTTCGCAGTCGATTCCCCGCTTTTGGTGGATGAACCAATGGAAACAGATTTAAAATATTTTTTTACAGATCCAAGAATCTTCATTGGGGCACCACAAGTACATCACGCACAGCAACACGAAGAGGAATCCTGCCTGTGGCGCAAAGTCCGTTACCAACCACTGGTACTGCCAACTGGAACTGTCATTGGCCACAATGAAGATCTGTGCCTTGACGCCCCCATCAGCAGTGGATGAACCAACAGCAGGAAAATAACATAAAGGACAAAATCAAACAAACTAAACAGCCAAGCGTAGTCATATTTAAAAACATTTGTATGTTTATGTGTATGTATATATATATATAGAGAGAGAGAGAGAAAGAAAGAAAAAGAGAGAGAGAGAGAGATAGATAGATAGATAGATAGATCGATAGCTAGGTAGATAGATAGATAGATAGATAGTTCGATAGATAGATAGATACACATGTATGTGTATATATATATATACACACAGTAAAGTCACCACGAAGAAAATCCTACATGTTTTTCCGCATTTCAACAAGGTCGGGTGCTAAAAGGACCGCGAAGGCAAAGGCAATGGCCAGCACCAAGACCCACCAAAGCTTTTGGAAAAGACCGAGCTTGGCGGACTGCTGTTGAGCCTCCAGGGTCTCCATCAAGTTGGACAAGGCGGCAAAGATCCAATAGAAAATGCCACCTGACTATATCAAAACTGCAGATTTTTTTAAATGTGACCTGGGGATATAACTCGATGGGAGATGGGAGAACGAACTTACACTGATGGTGGATGGAACTTGATGCCACCTCCAAAGTCATCCCAAAATTGGTGGATTGAACAGGATTTTACCATAGCAAATGAGGATTCAATGAGATATGAACAATTATCATGGGAATTTAATGGGATAGTAGCAGGGCTAATAGGATATAACTAGCCAACTTGATGTGATGTTTGGGGGTGACTGAAAATGGGGTAATTATACCTCAACATGAACATTGCAATTTAGCGGGAAACATGATGATAATACATTGGAATTGGTGGTATTTTAGATTTTAGACCAATCCAAAATTCCCGACGTCTGTCAGAATTGCGATTTTATACCTGAATTCCGCGGACAAATGATGAAGATCCAAAGTTTCCCTTGTTCTGTGAAGATCAATTGTGATCATAGCCACCATCCAATAAACATGTTGTGGAAACCCCAAAAAAATAGAAAAGCAAACCTCTGAAAACAAAATATGTATTTAGTTGCGTTGGATCTTGGTTCAATCCCCCGGGCTTTCTTTCATGTTTCGATTATGTTCGATTCAAACCAGTCGGAAGATCTGAATTCTGACGCAGCCCCAGGCACCGTTCATACATGAGACCGGCAACAGGCATAGGATCACAAAGGGCACGGGCACGGATTGGGTATGCCGGTCGGCCAAGACCACCTGCACCAAGGACCCCAAGGCGACCCGACCAATTGGTTTTGGTGAATTTTTGGGTGATAAATCATCCCCACAACTGGGGTCTACTGGACACTAGTCCAACCATTCTTGGTGCAATCATGGCACGGGTCCAAAATAAAAGATGGTGAACAAGGCCAGTACCATAAGCGTCCAAAAGAACATGTGGTTCTGTTTCTGTTGGACAAACAACCATCCACGTATCCCACCTCCCGCACCACATTCAAGCAAATGTAGACGGTTGAAAGAGAAACCATTCGGCAAATGGTGCCCCCATCAAGGAGCGGCTTGGTGACGCCCCAGCCCAAACATGCGGACAAAATGAGCATGTATGACAGGGTGTTCCTGGAGACCGACAGGAAGATTGAAACGCTGAACCTCGGAGCGAGTTGGTGGATGAATCGGTCAAAAACACCAGCAAAGCAAAGGTCAGTAAACTTCACATGCCGTAAGTTTTTATTGTAGAAATGGGAAAATCACAAATCATCATCCAGGAAACAAGGCCTTACTCTCCAGACCTCCTTCATTCCAGCTGAAAAGGTACACGAACCACGCCACACTTTCAAGGATGGCGAGGAAGCACAGGCTGCCGATGGCCAAGTGGATGTTGAACAGGACCTTCCACCATCGAATACATAGCAGGGACCAAAGGAGAAAGACCACCACTGTAGCGGCTGTCATGATGGCGTAGAAAGGCATCTTGCCGTACTCATTGGCGGGCAAGAAGCCATGAGAGTTTTTCACAATCACCTGTTTCATCTGCAATAGGGGTCAAAACAACTTGTGCACATTCCGCAACTGCACATAGTTTCATGCAAATGTTGTTGTTTTGATTCATACTTTTACAGTATATAACCAATCCTTAGAGCCCTGATGGCATAACCCCTGGCCCAGTCTTGGTGAACCAGGACCAGCTGCAACTGCTCTGTTGTTTTTGATCGTGTAATTTTGTCTTATCATATTTGCTCCCTCAAATAGATCATTGACCACTTGGAGGACTATCTCACCTTGTAAATAGTTTCAACATGTCTAAACCATGGCTATTACCTAACTACCAACCTACCTATCTGTATCTATATATATATATGCAAAGTGCTGACTTGCACTCTTTCTCCCTGCTTTGGCCTCTGAGTAAGTCATGGGTGGACACCCTTCGCAGCATGAGACGTTCAGCGCCAAGTGCTGGCTTCTAAAAGTCTTCCCACTGGGAGAAGAAATGCCAAATACACAGCTGAATGGAAAATGCTGCCATCTGGGTGGGCGGCAAGTGGGCCCAAATTTCTACAAGTCACAATTCGCATGAGGATCATGCAAAGTGCTGACTTGCACTCTTTCTCCCTGCTTTGGCCTCTGAGTAAGTCATGGGTGGACACCCTTCGCAGCATGAGACGTTCAGCGCCAAGTGCTGGCTTCTAAAAGTCTTCCCACTGGGAGAAGAAATGCCAAATACACAGCTGAATGGAAAATGCTGCCATCCACTTTTGAAAGAGGCTGTCACCTATGGTACGTGCTGTACTGCTTTGAATTTAGAATTCCGGTGACTCAGGGAAATTTCATGCAAAAGAAAACAGAGCTACTGTGCAATGAGAAAAGGGTACAAGGCTGCAGCATGTTTAATTCTGGTCTTCGCATCTAGCGGCAACCGTACTAAAAAATTATCAGCGGCTAGTTCTTGAAGGTAACTCTCTAAGGTGGACTGCGAACCAATTCTCATGCCCCACAACAGGTCCTGAATCGGTTTCCCCTGCCTGTAAGAAGCTATGGCACCTCCTCCGCGCACAGATGCTGGAGTGGGTCTGACTCTTGTTGGAATCTTCAAAGCCTCCAGAATCTTCTCCCAGCGCGCTCGAAAAGCTGCAGCAGACAGAGGAAAAATCTTAACTCCAGGATCTAGTTGGGCAAGGTGCCGCTCAAAGAATTGGATCTCATCAGCTTGTTCCAGCTTTGCATGTTGGATGCGGCCTTTTCCACGCCGGCGTGTCTTGGGCTTCCGTATTTTCAGAAAAGCAGAGCTCACTGAGCTGTCAAAATTGTCAGATGGGAGAAGCAAATCACATCTGCAAGCAGCTAGAGCTTCGCCTATCCGCGTCATTCCAAGGAACCCGATCATGAGGGTGGCTGCCCATCTTCTCATCCCCCAACATAAGCTTACCGCTACCATCGCCATATAGAGAATCTTAGGCAGAGGAGTTCTGTGCTGCAGGGGACGAATCTGCTCCCACTTAGAGACCAACCGCCATGCAGGGCTCAGATGAATCTTAAGCTCAGGTTTCTGCTGCTGGACCAAAACCAGCAGATGCCGAAGCTCATAAAGACCTGCTCCTGAAGCAAAAAGATGAACTCCATAGTGCTCAAAAATCTTGGCAGCTAAAGGTGCGCAAACGAAAAGCTGATTGCAGGTCTCTAGGCTGAGGCGAGCCCGCAACCACCGGACAAATCGAAGCCAAACTTGATCCTGCAGATGGATGGTGGTATCTTCAACTAACTGAGTGTCCACCAGTTCTCGAACTTCTCTAGCAGACTCCAACAAACGTCTGGCTTGAGGTCCAGGGTGAGCAGCTTCTCCTATGCGGAATCCCGCACATTTTGCGCATCCTCCGATATCCAGCTTCACTTGTTTGGAGGACGTCAAACCAGCTTTCAAGGCCATAGCTGATGCCAAATCACGGCAAAGGCTCTTAGGATATACCTGGGCTACTCTGGTCCATGAAGCTTTGTGAACCAAACTGCGGCCTCGCAATCGTTGATGCGAATGCCCACCGACACACAATTCTCTGCGGCCAGCTAGGTCAGTGTTGGTTGCTATGCGGGTCCGTTTCCTCCAGGGTGCTCCATAGCGGCACATGTCAAATCGGTAGGACCTAGTTGGGTCCCCCAACTTTCTTCTCAAAAACTCAGGCATCAGCCAAAGGAAAGAGCCATCAGGGTTCTCCAGCCAAAAGCAAAGGTTCAGCGCTTCAGCCCTTGAAATAACTTGCCAGCAAAAATCAGAATGAGCATTGCCTCGCTGCACTTTCTTCTCCATGCTAGCAGAGATGCCCTCTTTACCTTCTGGGTGGAGAGCGTCGCGTACCGGTGGTACTACTGCTCGACTGAAGCTAGCACATTCAGGCGCTGCGCCGACTCCCAGGACTGCACTCTCTTCCAGAAGCTGAAACACTTTTCTTTGAACTTTTGGGACCAACAAATCCTGAGAAACCCCAGAAGTAGAGTCCCAAGTTATGACCCAAACGTTAAACTTCCTAGCCAACTCTCTAGCAACCCCGGCCTCTCCACTGTAGAGATCGAGGAAGCCCGCTCGGCTAAGCAGGCGAATCTGCTCATAGCTGTTCGCTCGCTTGCCTCCAGGAAGAATAAACTGTTGGGGTTCAAAACGCAGCAGCAACTCCTTGGCATTCTCGCTCAATAGGGGCGACATCTCATTCTCTGGCACTGCAGAAAAATGGTGACGATCTCCCAGGGCATCTGAACTACCTACTTTATTAAGAGGAGGAGCTACCTCTTTTGAATCAACAGAATTGGACTGTGGCCCTTTCTCATCTCTTTGCAGTTCATTTTTTGGGCTCTTGTGATCCTTTTTTGTTAGGCACTCAGGCTCTTGATGCTCTCTTGTCATTTCTTGTTGTACATCCACCAAAGCTACCTGACGCTTTTCGTCAAAAACTGCTAACCGCTCAGGCTTTGCTACAGCTCGCAGTTCCTGTACAAGTGTGGCTTCGGCTGACCTAGAAACAGTTCCTACATCGTCCGTGCAGGGGATTTGGGATAGCTGAACGGGTGAATAACCCTGCTGCACTAACCACAGGTCAAACTCCTTGAAATTGCCTTCAATGGCTGCAGATAGCCATGAGGGAACCTCTTCTGCAGGTGCACGAATTTCTTTGCTACGAGTGGGATCATCAGCCGCATTCACAAGCGACGGGATGAACCCATAGTTCCCGTACAACCCTGAGCCTAGCAGCGTTGCAAGACTTTCTTGCAGCAAAGAATTCAAATGTGGAGAGCTACTCCTACCCTTCACTACAGTTGCTAAAGCTACTTGGCTGTCAGCACCTAAAGCATAACGCAGGTCCCCTCTCGTCTTGCTCAGCTTTTTCTCAACCTCCAAGATGCCTTGCAGCTCGAGGAGATTGATGTGCCGCCGCTTCTTCACTGGGAAAAGGAAATGGAACAAAAAAGGCAAGGTCCTGGCCAATTTCACCCACAAAGGATGGCAAACCAAAGGAACGCCTTCAGGTAGTTCCTGTTCCGCTTCCAGCTGCCCATGACGCTTCAACCAAAGCTGCCAGGGGCTCAACAGCCTGGACCATGCCCCCCTAGTCAAACAGTGTCGCTGCAACTCAGTCGTGAAGATCTTACCCACTTTGGCCCTCACACCAGCTACAGCGTCCTCTGAAGCATCCGTGAGGAAGATCTCATCTATGGACTGAGCCCTCAAGTCAGTGGCAGCTAATGGGCTGAGGATAACCAGCATCCAGAGCTCAGCTACAATCTCAGAGAAAAGCGATACCAGGTCAGCACGGTCACGCTCGGCTTGAGCAGCATAGCACAGGTCCAGAAGGCACATCATGCGCCTCCGGAACTGCAATATGGACATCCATGCACCACACAAAACTTCCAAAAGAGCCACACTAGCAACTGCCAGTTTCGCCACTTGCAGAGTGACATGTAAAAGGGGAACAAGACGTCTAGCTGCAGGCCTGATGATGCCTGATTCTCCATCTATGTGAGCCCCCCCATATGTCAGTGCTGGCTTCTTCTCGAAAAGTTTTCCTTGGGTGAGGATTCAAACCTTTGTTCAAATACTCTTCACACAAAGCACTGAGGCGTTTTGCCCCTTCTGTCAAGCCCATCACGCCATCAAGCGCTGCTCCATCGCCGCGTGGCACCTGTTCTGCAAATAGCACGTCGTCTATGACGACTCCAGCAGCGAGCAAACCGCGAGGCGCTCGGCCATGAATGCAAAGCAGCTCGGATGGTGTAAAAACTCCGCACTGCAAACCTATCTTGACATGACAGAGCTGACCTAGTTCTACTGCATTGTTGTCACCCATAGCCAATGTCTTTAAGCAGGGATAGATGAGCTGATCTTCTAGTTCAAGTTCAGGGCGATACGCAGCTAGGTGCCGGGCTTGAGCAGGCTGCAAAGGAAGACGCAAAGCATTACGGTGCGCTCGTGCTGCACTGATCTTGTATGAGTAATAGTAGTCCTTCAAATCTGTACCTGAAAACCTCATGCAAAAACCAGGCAGCATCTCAATCTGCAGCAAAGCTTGAACTGATCCTAAAGTCTTGACCCACTCTGTGTGTGTGGGTTCAACTGCATTTGGCGGTCTAGCATCAAGGATCAATCTATCTGATTCCGCATCCTTTCCCAAGGCAAAAGCCCCGCACAAGAGGTTACGCCGCACTTTTCTGCCAGGAGCCAGATGAAGCCGTTGATGGCTATCCAGGAGCTTGACAAACTCCCAGCTCTGGGCGGCGGAACCATGAACTCGTACACGGGGAACTGCAGAGTCCAAGTCAAGGTCATAGGCTAAGCTGAAGGGGTCTTCATAAACCTGCTTATAGGCTCTTCAAGAAAGGAGGACGGGTCAAACAAAGGAGGGTCTTTAGGCAGAGATAGTCGGGACGCCACTAAAGGCTTCGCTTGAGCTGGCACTCCAACTGAAACTTTTCCTACCACTTGCCCAACAGCTTTGGCAAAATGCCCTCTCTTCCCAGCCGTTCCACTGTGGCTAGTAGTCGCTGAATGCCCGTAGGAACTCTGCTCTAGGCGAGCAGTCTGCACGTAGAGCTCGTTGATCAAATCATCCAAGCCCTCGAACTTTGAGGCGGTGCGGCCCATTTCTCTTGGCCCCACATTGCCGTCCATGCTGATCTCTACGAAAAACTTCTCCAGGCGTTGCACTACCAGCTTCTGCTGATACGACATCTCTTTGCCAATGAACATGACAGCAGGAGCTCTCACAGGCTTCTTCAGGTGCAGCCATGACAACGCGGCGACACACAGATTCATAGCCTTTTGCCGAGCTCGTACTGGAAAAGGCAAGTCAGCATTGGTACCTACCTCTCGCAAACACACTGAAGGGTAAGGCAACGGCAAGGGCCACAAAGTCGGAGCTGTGCCTCCATCCACTGAAGGCTTAAGGCTCTGCAGGCTTCTCCAAAAACTTGCAAAGGTGGACTTTGACGACATCATCCACCTAGTCATTGAATTCCACAACTTGAGGATGTTACTAACAGGAGCCTTCGCCCCAGGAACATCCGCAGGAGCTGATGAGACTTCGGGCAGGGAGCCTGAGGCAGTTGTCTGCCCCCAGCTCGCAGGCTCCTTGCCACTCCAAGCACATGCTATTGAGGGCTCTCGGAAGCCGGCGGGGTTGTCTTCTCCTCCCCCTTTCCGCTCCCTTTTCCCTTCTTCCCCTTGGTCTTTGCCGGATCTGCTTTTGGACCAGGCTTCGTCTCTTCGGACTTTCGACCAGGTGCAAGCTTCACTTTCTTCTCCTGGAACTCGGCAATGTCTTTGAGCTTCGCCATGATGAGCTCTAGCCAGCGGCCGTCGACAAGACGGGTATGGGGACTCTCCCAAGCCTCCGGCAGCTGGTGATTGGCAAAACTGTGGATGGGTGGCGCTTCTTCGAGCGTCAACTCTCCTGCAAGAAGAAAAGATCCTCGGTCGATGCTCTGCTGGTCGACACAAGCGACCCCCAAGGCCGCTCGCGCTCGTGCTTCCTCGTGTTTGCCCAACCGCAGGCAATCCCAGATCCCTGCTAGGATCCAACTGTAGCGGATGCTGGTCATGTAGCCCTGAATTTTGCTGCGGTGCTCGACCCAGCCTCTGGCTGAGATCTGGGATGCTGTAACTCCAGGCAATGCTTCTGAGGCATCCCAATCCTCCTGCAGTCGTCGCTCTAAGCTCTGATAGATCAGGGCGGGATTGGAATGAAGAAGCCTCTGAAGTGCTCTGAGAGCGGCCGCCCTGGAGCGAGTGCTCACTCCGGGCTCTTTTTGAGAGCCAGATTCGGCGTGGTCCAAGATCTCCTCCAATCCTCCTCGAGCTTTGCCTTTGTCCTTCTGCATGCCCTTGATGATCTGGGTCAACTGCACCACTGCTTTGGCTACAGGGTCTTGAGAACCAGCAGCGGCGTCTCCCCCTGCCTCCTCCTCCTCGTCCGAGCTGACCTCTTCGGGCAAGCCCAGTGGAAGTCGATCTGCAGGAGCTCCAGCAGGTTGAGCTTGAACAAGTTTGGACATCTCGGCCAAAGCCTTGTTTGACACTCCAGCGTTGAGCGCTTGCTGCACTAAGCCGGCATCGAGTCCAGGTGGAGCTTCTACGGCAGCAGGTCGACGAGGTTGATGCTTGGCTCGAGCACCACGACCCGCAGGAGGATCTGAGCCAGAAGGAGCAGCCGTTGGAGGACTTGACCCTAAGGCATCCAATTTCTTCAGGATCTTGTCCAGAGAGTTTTCTAATACAGCAATGCGTTCTTCTTGGTCTGGCTTTGCTGCTGCACGATGCCCTGACTCTGCGGACAAGAAGGTGAAGTGATCCTTTGCAATCGCCACCAAAGAAGCTGCGTAGGGCAGGGTCATCAAGCCTGCGCCATCCATAGGAAAGCAACGCTCTGCAGCTGTCTCCTCGTCGGCCTCGTAGACCACTAGTTCCTCGTACTCTGGCCGTAGAAGAGCAAGCCAAACAGGAAGGTCTGGTTCTCCTAAAGGCGCATCTCGTTCCTGAGCGCGGCAAGACTGGACACTGACTCGCACCGCTTTGGAAAGAGCATCTCCAGCGATGTTCCGCTTCGCCTTTCTTCTTGTTCCAAGCTGAGTCGGGTACGGCGACCAAAACTTTGCCATCCACATCCACGACGGCAATGACACTGCATGTTTGAGCTGGGGGCTCAAAGGAAAGGATACCCACAGGGTAGGAAAAATTGATGGTGTTCTCACTCTCACAAACAAAACTGTTGCGAAGCGTCCGTTGGACTTCCTCGCCGTCTTCTGAAGCACTGTCTCCGATCATTGCTGCAGCTCAGCAGGCAAGGTAACCCTGGCGTGCTGCACCACAATTCGTCCCTCAGCCTTCGAAGGCAAGCCCACAAACAAGCTATCACCTAGCTGTCCACCAATCGAACACACTTCCTTGGTCTCTCTCCAAGTACCAAAAAAGAGCGGGGGATTGTGGTCTCGTCCCTGGATATCACGAAAGACCAAATAGAGCCTGGACTGCAAGGAGATCTTCTCTCGCCCAGACAAGCCACGACGTTGTCCTCTGAGAGCTTTGCAAATCCACTGGCCGATCTCAGCCGCAATCTCAGCACGGTCTGAAGGGAGAGACTCTGCAACAGGAGCACTGGCTGGAGCTGTTGAAGCAGAAGGCGCAGAAGAGATCAACTCAAAATCCGACCCTCGCTCACTTTCCAAGACCTCAACCCTAGCTTTAAGGGAACTAATCTCAGCTTTACAAAGAACCAGCTCAGCTTTCAACACTTCTAACTCTTCCCTAGTCACCGGAGTTTGGTCAGGAGTCCTCAGGCTCATAGAAGACGGTATCGCCCCTCCGCTGGTGTCTTCTCCAACCGAGTCAGCCGCACAGCCAACCAAACTTTCCAGCTCTGTCTAATCAGGTGCAGTAGATCTAACACTGGGCCAATCAAAAGCCCCACAAAGATTCCAACGCACACGCTGAATGGATCCAGAGGGAAAAGTTCAAATGGAAGTTCAGGGCAGGTTGGACACTCAAAGATTGGTGAAGTGGCTGGTTGGTTTGCGAAATCTGAAATCAAGCGAAGCAAAAGAGCGGAAAAGGTGCCAGAAGTAGCTCCAATGGCAACTGTCCGTTCCATACACCGAGGGGTCTTGACCCAAATTTCTACAAGTCACAATTCGCATGAGGATCATAAGTAAGATATTCCAAAAAATAATCAGTGACTTGCCAACCAGGCCTACTTTTTCACCATCCCCGTCCGACATGCCTGGCCACTGATCACGGCTTGGTCGAAGTTGCCACAATTCGATAGGACCAAGAAGTAGACGCCCGGTTTCTGCATGGTCATCTTCTGAGGTTTCGCCTTATCGAAGCCCACCTGAAAGTTTTGAAAAAGCACCAAAGTCGACATGTGATCCGGCTGTCAATAGATATAGTATTATTAATGTATGTATATATAATTGATTATGCACATATATATTTATACATATGTTTATATGTATATATATATATATACAAATAGGTGGCATCCTGGAATAGATCGAATATTCCCAAGGTACATTTTTTGAACAATTCGTGATGCTTCACTCTTGGAGATAGTCAACTGCCTATAGAAATGTCAGTTAGTCATGTTTATGCTAGCGGACCGTTTACCGTCTCACAAATGTGCCAATGTCTCATAGATGGGTACGGGGGGTGGGGGGTGCAATATGCAATAGCGTTCAAGTATACATTGAACACATAGGAATTGAGGAAGGGTGTTGAGATACACACATGGAACATGTTACGTCATGGGATTTGTGTTGAGATACCAAGATGGAACATGTTACTTCATGGGATTTGTGTTGAGATACAAAGATGGAACTTGTTACGTCATAGGATTTATTGTTGAGATAGTGGGGTGGGGTGGGGTGGGGTGGGGTTGGGTGGGGGGGTTGGGGGGTGCAATAGCAAAGTATGTTCAAGTATGCACTGAACACATACGAAAGCGTCGAGGAAGAACGGGAAACATGTTAGGTCATGGGATTTGCAAAATGGCAAGCCTAACCCAAAGCTTTGGTCATATGTCCGAAGTACCCATTGGAGATGGGAGATGAATTCGGATGACCATTTCGCCAAAATTGGCAAAGCTTTGAAGGACCTCTCACCGAACCGCGAAGCCCAAAAGATGAAAATGAGTTGGCATCATTTTGCAACACAAAACCACACAAGGCTTGACATTTTCAGTTCTGAAGGGCTCATTTTGGAAGCTCATTTTGAAGCATGAGGATCTGGCATCCCGAAAGCATCTTCTAAAACATTGGCAGTATTGAAAGTTCCTATGAATTAATAGGATATATAGTTCCTATAGACAATATTCATAAAACATCTAGGAATGATAAAGATAGAATTAATAAATAGTGAGACTAAATAGATAGACAATGATAAGAAAAACAACAATCAGATGAGTTCAATAAAGAAAGCTAAATGAATAACCAAAAAATACATACAAATGAAGAAAGAGAAAACATCAAGAACTCAATTAGATAGACAGAAAGACGAATAAATGAATTAAAACAGAAACAAAATATGTAAGTAATATATATATATATGAACAGATAACATAGCTAAATAAACACAAAAATGATTAAGAAAAACAATGATAATGGTATGCAATAGTCATGAAGATCATAGCAAAAGAAACCCAAACGCGTTTCTTTAAATTTATTTTCGAAACGCACCTGATAGCCATAGACATTCAAATCCTTGACACTTTGCCCCGGCTCTTTGTGCAGAATCAAATGGTCCACGGCGTCACTGTCACCACGGGCAAGGTCATCTGAGGTGGCACACATTCTGCCCGTATCCACCAGACTCCAAATGTCTTCATACCTGCCGAAGAGCGGTTAAAATGTAGATTTATTATGATTTATTGGGATGTGAATCTTTAAAAATGCTGGTTTCATGGGATATTAATGGGATATATAACATATATAACCAGCACGATGATATATATATATATATATATGTGTGTCTGCCGTTTTCGGGGGTTTAAAAATAAAAAAAACTTATTGGGGATATTCCTTAGGAATAATGGGGAGATCAATCGGACAGAATTGAACCACTTGATATGATATGTGTGTCTATCTGAAAACGAGGTACCCCAAGAAATGGCCATTGAAAAATAACCAGCGGATTTAGGGGTGACAAACCCACATCTTCTGGAGAGATGTCAAGACAATTTCCAGCAATTTTGTCTTGGAACAAGCTGCTGCAAGTTCAGAAATCTGTATCTACCCAAACACTTCCCAAAACTAAGTTTCTCCGTTTTTCCAAAGCCCTGCGCCTGATAAGATGCAATTCCAAGCCCTTGTAATTGGCTAATTGTGCGTCCGTCTGGTCCGGAGATTGACTGGTGGCTTTGAGCTCCCGGAAGACCACGAAGGGTTGAGTCTTGGTCTTGTTGGGTGATGACCCAGGCGTCGACAAAAAGAATGGATAGATCAGGCTCAAACTCTTGCGTTCGGGCACCTGCAAAACTCCAGGCAAACTCATGAAAATTCTGCGGCAAGACAGCCAGCGCCAGTGGAAATTGTGGCAAGAAAAATCGATTATATATTATCTAATATACCTCGCCATATCTCTTATGGATGTTAGTTGGATAGACAGATAGACGGCTCGACATGGAAAACTGGGAAAAAATACTTGAGAGCTGATGGCACCAACTGATTTCCTGCAAAGTTGTTCTTCTCACCTGACTCCCCGAACTTTCAGCTCATTGCCCACCTTAAAGTCTTTGAGCTGGAAGACTTGCGCATCACATGCAGACAGCCATAGCACCAGCCAGAGGCCGATCCCAGCCATGCTGGGACGATCGAGATAGTTATATATCACAACCCTCGTGCTCAATCCTTTCCGTTCTCTGAGACCTGTGCATGTATCAAGATATAGTGTATTATGATGTATTATAATGCAATATCAAATCTCAATTGCGTCCTCCGGGTGAAGTATTTCTGACAATGAGCTAAAAGATTATTACCTCTGACACCAATCTGAATCACATTTCCATCAACTCGAGCGCCAAAGAGCGACAGGGCCCGCTGACTGATACACCCCTGCGATCGTTGCTTCGTGCCTCTTTATTTCTGATGGCAAAACATGACTTTCTTCGAGTGATCCCCACCAACGACATTCTATCCGACCTATATTCTGACATCTTATCTGGCATTCTACTTTCTCGTCTCTGTTCGGGTCCATGCGTGCCCAGCTAGCTGCATCCGGAGCTCGCAATAGGATTCGGATCCGCGCCTGCCCAGCTGGATCCAGAGCTCGCAATAGGGTTCGGGTCCCAGACTGAATTGGAGTTCGCGATAGGGTTCGGGTCCGTGCATGCCCAGACTGCCGTGCAGCTGGCCATGATCTTCCGTACTTTGCTGTGAGATCCGGGTCCGTTGGTGCCCACAATGACTACAAGCTGGCAGAAGACGAGGATGGCAAGAAGAAGGACGACGAGGAGGACGCGAGGAGTGAAGGAAGAAAGGGGGAGAGGAGGGAAGGAAGGAAGCAAGGAAGCAAGGAAGCAAGGAAGCAAGGAAGCACGGAAGCAAGGAAGCAAGGAAGCAAGGAAGCAAGGAAGCAAGGAAGCAAGGAAGCAAGGAAGCAAGGAAGCAAGGAAGCAAGGAAGCAAGGCAGGAAGGATGGAAGGAAGGAAGGAAGGAAGGCAGGAAGGGAGGGAAGGAGGGAAGGTGGGAAGGTGGAGCACCTTTGTTAAAGTCTAGAGACCCTCACCTGACAGCTGGGGAAATAAGAAAACACATATTATATTTACAATGGCTGCAACTAAATGTGTAAATGCATACATATATATATATACTCCATGTTTTGATTCCAACATGTATACATGTCAATGTGTATATTTATTTATTTATTCATTTATTTATTTATTTATATATATATATCCATGGTGAATGTATATATATATCAATGTAACAGACAGACAGACAGACAGATAGATAGATAGATACATTGATCATTTATCATCTGACATAAATCAGTAACATGAATATCATGGTGAAATATGTTTCTTCGCACCTCCAAGGCGGTTGCCAGGTCGGGCGTTGGCTCGTCATAACCATAGCCGCCTTTCTAGGCGTCATGGTTTTTTTGGGAGACGACATGGGGAGATCAACAGGTGAAAATGCCGGTTGATCCCAAGTTTGGAGGTTTTGTACAGCTTTCTTAGGTTTATAGAATCCATTGAAATGGTGGAATTAGGGGATTCCCTTAAAATAATGGGGATGGTCAATGGTGCATAATTTTCAGAAACCGCAAGGTTACGAATCGGGGGGTACCAACTTTATGAGTATAGTAACGTATAAAAAATTGAAGCAACAGAGTTGGTTCATCAACGGTTGACATGAATCATCACAGGAAGTAGGTATGGGGATTTAAGCAACCCATTTCCCGTGGGATTTCACATGAAATGGTCATGATTCATGATCCCATTTCGCCCACCAAAGTTGGGACTGATCATGGTTAAGAACCTCAGTAAATTGGAATCCCATCCTAAAATGAACTGCCACAGAGGAAGGGATGCGAGAGCTGCCTTATAAGTAGGCATAAGTAGGCTAACTAATGGATTTAGGGTGAGATTATAAAGCAACTTAGAACTGAGGGGCCCTTCTTATTGCAATCCCATCTGCCTCATATGAAGCGCCCAACCAGAAACCCTCTGTTGGGATTGGATCTGTCTTCTTTGAGGGCTCCTTGAAGGGGGTCTTTCATTACCAGGGGAAAGGGATTAATGTGAAAATCACCAACCCAAAAAGGGATACGTAATGCCAGTACAATCAAAATTGATTGTTCGATCAAATGATGTTTGGGGCAGTCATGCCTGCCGGATTTGAACATCACACAGCCAGAATGGACGAATGACGACAACCATCTGTTTCGGTGATGTTAAAAACCTAAATGATACACTTACGTTTACCACCCCCTATTCATTCCGCATAGTTTTGAAGGGCGCCCCCAAAACCAGACCAAACAACAACCAATGGCGCTTAAAGGGACCAAACATGTGACCTTAATGTTGTAAATTTGATGGTTGATGATTTCCGAGGGGGTGATTTTGGATGAGGATTTCCTCTATACAGTTCTTTCCCGAAAACTGATTCTGGGATAGTTAAGGACCTTAATTGTTTGCTGGTAAAGTTGCCAAAGTAGTGGTTCCCAAGGCTTAAGTTTTGACCCACCATGTCAAATGTTCTTTGCCAGTCGACTAAAATAATCATACTGGCTTCTATGGCCCGCTGTCTCTCATAGAAAGGTGCGACTTGAGAGGGGGAGGACGAAAGATAGGTTTTGTTGCGAGCAAGAGAACGACACGAGGATGTCTGACGGCATGCAGCTGTGAAGTAAGGTACTAATCCAGTGATTGTAAGAAAGACCTGTGTGGGATTTTGGGTAAGGCTTGAGATAACTAGTCAGTTCCAACGAATTTCAAATGGATTGAACTAAACAGTCTCACAAAAAAAACATGTGTTTTTATCTCCGTGTCCGTCTCGACATGATCATGCCTATCGGATATTCAGGCAAGGACTTTCTTTCAAAGAGTGTGCAAGCAGAAATCATAGAACATCTACATCAACAGCTACGAGATCCAGGGCAAGATGATCAATGCAAGTCTTCATTTTCTTTCATCTAATCTTTATTTTCCTTGTATTCATTTCCAAGAACCAGGTGTGCTTATCGAAACAGAGGAACAGATCTTTGCTATCTTGGGAAGCTTCCTCCCGCCTCTGGCGGGCACGATTTCTGCGTACAATCAGTTGTGAAAGGAAGAAACGTTTCCAGGCGGAGCGCTGTAACTGCCTGGGAATTAAGAAGGGCCATGTTTGTCCTCGACCATTTTCATGTTATCGTTTTTTCATGCTCATCTCCCACAACCATGCGAGCACATCGACATGTGACAAGCAGAGATGGGGTGAGATGCGACTAGACAGACATAGACAGACAGAAAGATAGACCGATAGATAGACCGATAGCTAGACTGTAGATAGATAGATAGATAGATAGATAGCTAGAGAGAGAGAGAGATAAAGAGAGAGAGAGAGAGAAAAAAAAAAGAGAGAGAGAGAGAGAGAGATATATATATATAGATTTAGATAGAGATAGATAGATAGATAGATAGATTTAAACGGATAGACGGATAGATGGATAGATGAATAAATGGATAGATGGATAGATGGATCGATAGATAGAGAGATAGATAGGGAGATAGATAAGGAGATATAGAGAGATACAGAGATAGAGTAATAGACAGATAGACAGACAGACAGATAGACAGTGACGTGGAAAGACTGGCAGGTAGAGAGACAGACAGAGGATGTATGAGTAGGCTTTTGGATGGACAGATGATGGATGGATATATCATAGACAGATAGACTGCTACAGGCCCTGGTCAAAACAAACCGCAGTTTTCAACGATGGTACCGCACATCGTTTCTTCGCATGTTCAAGTGCCCTTTAAATCATCCCTAGTATTTCGCATGTTTACAATGTTATTTGCAGTGGTTTTTACACGTCCATTGCCTAAAACACTGGTATTTACGCAGTTTTGAACATGTTGCACGTAGTAAATTCATGTGCAAAAACACTTACAGATTCGATTCATTCAGGCCTTAATTTCAGTGAAAGAAGCCACGGGCCCCCACCAATACATTTTAAGTTCTAAAGTACATGGAACTCAGGTAGCCTAGGCTACCTTTCGTGATTAGTGCATGGCTCTCGAAACAATCAACACAAAACGATACAGAAATAAATGTCAGATGAAAGAGAACCAAGTCCATACGGATATGAGTCAAATTAAAGACTTAGGTATACTTAGGTAACCACAGATTTTAGTCTATCTTTAGTATTAACATCTATTAACAATCCAATTCTTGGGGTTCCCAATGACGTGACCCCCACCTCCGTTCCAATGTTCGTATCCCTTCCCTTGGGACAGATCTCCCAGGAACCTGAGGCACAAATTTACAGTGCCACCCACCATGCGTGTCAAAGTAGAAGATCAGATGAGGTAAGATAAGACTCTATAATGATAGGATAAAATAGGATATGATGAGATAAAGATAAGATAATTCAAGATAGGATAAGATTCATAGAACTTGTGATGGTCTAGGTGTCCTTTCCAACTTGATACCAAACTCAGCAAGCTCAGCAATATACACAGAAATTGTGAATGGTCAAATGGGACTTGCACCTGTTGTATTTGCTCTACCTCGGGAACAACATGGTGAAACAACCAGGGCCATGCCCAAATCCAATACTATAAATACTAAACCAGGGTTTCAGAAGGGGAGCTTTAGTATGATTGCGCGAAGGACCTATCAAAACCACAGATTTTGGTCAATTCCGCCATTGGAGGGCCCCTATACATATATTGTATGTATGTATATATATATATATGTATTATATATGTACACACAAAACTAACTAAGTATCTCTGATCCTGTATATATAATTTTACATAATTATTATGTGCATATGTGGACATCTTACCCATTATTTTTTTGGGTACCCACTAGCTCGCTTGACGCCAATCGCTTTTTTTTGCAGACAAGGATCTGCTGGGGGCCTCGGCAAATCCAAGTTTCCGACTAAACCGTGGATGGCACAGCAAGTCCTACGGTGTCAACAGTATTTCCTGACCACACTGGTGATGCTTTTTGATGGAAAAGATATTGGTGTGTCCAAGAATCTGGGTGCCACAAACTCACAAACCCTTGGTTTTAACCAACAAAAATTGCAGGTCACATGCTTTATTTTGATTTGACGGGCCCACTGGTTTTTGACATGATTGGGAG